ATTTTGTAATTTAAGTTGACAAGAGATCCTTTTCATATCGAAGTTGACATTCGTCCAGTTAACCTTCAAGAACAGGCAATTGACCTAAAACTTGATTTACAAGCAAAAGCAGATTTTGCAAACGTGGACTTGGAAGAATTTTGTTTAACCTACTTTCCTGTTTACCCAGAAGTGCCTTTAGTATCTGCGAAGTTATTAGTCCAGTTTTCATCCACAAATCTTTGCGAATCTCTATTGGAAGTTGGAAACTAGAAATCTAAATCAGTCATCTTTTGCGTTCTTTAAACATTTGTAAACAGCTTTGTAATAACAATACAATTGATTTAATATTCAAAATTTGTGAAATATATAAATTTAAATAAAAAATGTATCTATAAACCAATTTATATAATGATTATGTGATTGTATATGTTTGCATTTTTGTATGTGTGATTGCATAATATTAAATATGATATTAGTTGCTTGAAATGATAAAAATGACAACGTATATTCCAATTTTAGTTCGATACTTTAAATATTTTATTTATGTGCGATTTTTAGAGGCATTATTTTTTTATTATTAAGTACACGTATCGAAAAGAAAATTTTATTTATTGTTTTAAAAAGAAAATACGATTTGTTTGCAGTTACTGACAATATAACGTTTATGGGAATGTATACCAAAAACAGATAAATTTAGTTTTAAGTCCTTTTGTTTTCGCTTATTTTTCAAACGATATATTTAGTTACTTTTTCTTTTTACTATAATCTGTACATATACTTAATAAAAGTTTTCTCAAACTGTTTATTTTTTTGTTTAAAAAAAATCCTAATCCAGTTATTAATTATTATAGTCTTGTCAGAGAAAAAGGGAGAAAAAACTGAAGAAAATCAAACGCAGAGAGAAGATAAAACCTAGCCTCGAAACACTTAAATATTTAGCAGTAAGGCAGATACAGAGAAAATAGTCAATGATACACTGAAAGAAAATTTCAGTGAAGCACCCGCGGTTGCAGAAGAATTAGTAGAAAGTATTTGGCACACCTTCAAAAACAACAATCACAACTATACAAACAGAACAACTACAAGACAACACAAGAAAAACAATTTTACATGGATGACAGAAGAAATCCTAGAACTGATGGACGTAAGATCTTATAAAACCGCAATGAAGTAAAATATAAAGAAACCCAGAGAACCATCCGAAACAAAATTAGGAAAACCAAAGAAGAATGGATGAATTACTAATAAAACATAACTACTTCAATGCCTACAAAGAGTTTAAGGAACTCACAAATATGAAGAAAAAATTCATTATAACAACCCTAGTAGAAGATAACAACTAAATAGTATCTAGCCCAGAAAATGTAGGAAATATATGGGAAAATACATCAAAATAAACGAAAACGACTGTCGTTTTATATCTTTTTGAGCTGTACGAAATGTATAAAAGATTTACAAATCTCAGCAAATGAACAGTTTTACCTCTTGCACTTCTGATCAGTTGGCAAAATATTAAGTGATAAAAAAATTGAATTGTTTTAATTCCAGAGAGACAGAACCTGGAATATACCAAAGAAAATGATTTTAAATAATATACGGTCGATACCAAAACAAAAAAAATTATGTATAATGCTAAAAATTACAAATTGTAACTAATAGGGTTCTATCAGATATCTATGTTACAAATATTTCTAATATTACATAGGTATGCATGATTCGAAGGAGTACTTATGTAAATAGTATTTATATTTCGGTTCAAGGAATGTAGCTAAATAGGCGCGTACTGAACGCCCATTTACGCTGTGATGTCTGATGGTCATCCGTTTCATTACACATCGAAAATTGTGGAATATGTTTTGAGGAGACGTTTGGGAAGCAAACTATTGTTGTTATGACATAAGAAAGAACTAATTGACGTGATTGTTTGTCCGACTATAAGTGATGCTGTATGTATAAAGTTATTTTTTATTTATTTATAATAGAGGTATATTTACGAGATATGTTTTATTTCTTCATTTTCTTTTCGGAAAGTTTTTGTTAAATGAAAGTGATGTAATATGGCTCACTCAATAGAACTGCTCCGGATGTGGATAGTATCCAAGAAAAGTAGTAAGAAACAATTTAGTGAAGACACCCTATCTTAGTATTTGATAGACAATAATAATAATTGTGAATTCGTGGGAAAGATTTTATCCTTATGAGGATATGTAATCCATGCTTCTTTCCATGAGTGAGGTGTAGATTGTCTTAATTAGATAAAGAGACAAACGCTCAAAATTTTCTTTTTCTTTAAGTTCCATCTTCTATCGAAGGTTGGAAATCATCATGGCTATGCGGACTCTGTTGACTGCCGCTCGAAAAAGTTCTGCACTACTGCATTCAAACCATTCCCTTAAGTTCTTAAGCCAGGATATTCTTCGTCTTCCCACATTTCGCTTTCCTCGGATTTTGCCCTGCATAATAAGTTGTAATAATGCATATTTTTGCCCTCTCATCACATGTGCCAAGTACTCAAGTTTTCGTCTTTTAATAGTTAATATTATTTCCGCCTCATTTCCTATCCTTCTAGTTACTTCCATGTTTGACATTCTTTGAATCCTTGATATTCATAGGATTCTTCTGTAACACCAAAATTCAAAGGCGGCCAACTTATTCAGATGAACTTGTTTTAGTGTCCAAGCTTCCAAACCATAAAGAAGAGTAGAGAACACGTAACATCGAAGCATTCTCAGGCGTAGTTATAACCTTATATCCCGACAACAAAGAAACTTTTTAAGTTTAATAAATGATGTACGTGCTATTTCAATTCGTGTCTTAATTTCTTTGGTTTGGTCTACATCTGATGTTATCCATGTTCCTAAGTATTTATAGTTATTAACATTTACATGTGCAGATTTAGTCATGATCATGCATTTAGTTTTCTTTAAATTTATCTTCAGTCCGTACTCATGACAGCGTTCATTAAGGCGTTGCATTACGTTCTGTAAATCATTGTTGTTATCCGTAATTATTACTGTATCGTCTGCAAAACGTACGTTATTCAAAACTTCTCCATTGATAGATATACATTCTATTGAGTCCGAGAGCGCTTCTTGAAATACCGCTTCACTGTAGACACTGAAAAGTAGTGGGGACAGCACGCAACCCTGGCGGACTCCTCTCTGTATTTTGATATTTTCGGTGTACTGGCTGTCAACTCTTACCTTGGCAGTTTGATTCCAATATAAATTAGATATAATTTTCAGATCACAACTGTAAAAAAGTTTCAAAAGTCAAAAGTTTCTATTAAATGGTATTGTTATCCTGACGAGGCCAGAACTGTAGACGGCCGGATGAATGGTAACTTCGGCGTGATTCATCGACATCGAATACTGTCGGTACGTCACCAGTTCACTCGAACTATCCAGAACGTCTCAGTTCTGAATTGTCTCGAATATTATTCAAGATGGGTTTCCGTTGTATGTAAGTTAGTCTTAAGCGGTATTTTATTGAAAGTACTAATAATTGTACATCGTGAGTTACATTACTTAAATAAAAAGCTAATATTTTAACATTTATTCAAAATTGAAACATTATAATTCCTTAACTACAGCAAATACAAATGAAGGTCACAATATGAATTAAAGCTATGTACATAATAATTATTATGACTGCAAAAAAACCTAATATCAAAATTTTATATATATATACATATATATATATATATATATATATATATATATATATATATATATATATATACAAATAAATAAATTAATAAATATAAAAAAAAATATCACAAAAGTACTTTGGTATGTTTTAAATAAAGTATTCACAGACATAAACCGTTTATATTAAAAATGAATCAACAGTAATAATTTGAATATGGCAAGTAGCATATTTGTATGTAGTTAACAATCTGTTACCATACCTTAATATTCCAAGAGGGACTACCTAACTTTATAACTAATTTGTAAAGTATCATAAATTATGAATAAAGAAATAACACGTAAATTTAGATCCTCTTCATCTTCTTTTCATATCCTCTATGTTTATCTATATCATTATTTCCAAGCATCAATTGGGGTGCTTTTACCCACTTATTCCATTGTTAGTTTGTCAGTAATACGATAGCGATTTTTATTTCCTCATCATCATCAATTAGCCCCGATTTATCCATTGGTCTAACCACCACATACCATTGGTCTAACCACAGTTTTCTAAATCTTAATCTTCAATTTAATTAGGCCAACAAAAATAGTTTTGTTGCCATTGAATATTCATTCTTGAATTTTTGCTTATTTCGTCAATATTTAATTGGACTTCTGGATATGTCTTCTGGATTTTTAGTGATTCAAAATTCTTCTCTACTATTCATCTATTTTGACTTCCCTTTGTTCTTATCTGTGTAGGTCCTTTGAATGTTTATTTTTAGTCCAATTCCTTTGGCTGCTCTTTTCAGTAGTGTATCTATTACCATTGCCTCCTCCTCTCTATTTGCTTGGAGATTGGCTCTTCCAACATACAACTGTCTTGATACATTCCGAGTCAGGTTGAATAATGCCAAGGCCAGTCCATCGCATTGTTTTAGTCCTTGACTTTTTGATTTTCAGTTGATTCTGTAGTCATACTGTTAAATTTTTTGTTGCTTTCATTAGTCAGATATATTTCGAGAGCATGTTAAAGGCCTGTAGGATGACATAAAACTGGCTTGTGTTTATTTAGTCATAGGTTTGTTTAAAATCAACAGATTTGATATTCTATCATATTGACAAGATGAATATGAACTTTAATGCTGTAGAACTCAAGATTTATTGCAAATTTTTTTCAGTTGCCAACCTTTATAATAGAAAGCCAATTTTATATTTCTCAAGAATATTTTCAGTTAAAAGTTGAAGTCGTTTTTTAATTGTGGATGTAAAGATTATTTTAGTGTATAGGTTTTTACCATGTATAATAAATATGGAAATAAATAAAATAAATACCTGAACGAAAACAAGAATAAACAATAATTTCAAAATACCTTAGAGTAACTAATTTCAAACTATTATGTTATGCTTAGACTTCATGTGCATTTTTAAATTATATTTTCTTGAAAGGACAGCATTGCAAATACCACATTTTGTTCGTCCAAGATGAACAGGTTTATGATGATGTAGACTGTATGGATGAGTAAATACTTTAAAGCACACAGGGCATGTTAAATTGTCATTGGTGATACTTGAACTTAGATCACGCTGAGTACTAGCATAAAGTTCCTCCTCTGAGAGTTCTTCTTCTAAAATAAAAATATATAAATTGAACTAAAAATTATTTTTAAAATAGGTATTAATTAACACTTTCGCTGCGATTACAAAAAATTCAATTATTATGTTGTATGCTTACCAGTTATAATTGACTGGTACTACAGAATTCTGTATTTCTATCTCTAAATTTTGAATGATTTATGCATAGTAATAGTTTTATGCATATAAGGAATATACAAACTTGCTGGAAACTATCAGTACCAGGCTATTAATTTTGGTAAAGCAAAAACTGACATTTTTAAGAAGTGCATATTTTCAAGTAAAATAACACCAAAACTTTTATTGAGAACAAAATACATATTATTATTACAAAAATAACAAATGCTAATTATTAGTAAGTTTTAAAATTTATGCATTGTGTATAAAATTAAACATGGTAAACAAAGCAGGTTTTTCCTCGCATATGCTACAGGATGTAGTAACTTTAATTACCTTTATATCAGTTTCTTTACTTTTCATTGTTTCCCTCAGTTTCTTGTAACATTCCATACAATTTTGCCTTTTTTTGGTACCAGGTACTTCGGGTTTATTTTCTAGAAACTGATTTTATATTCATCATTATCTCTGAATTAGTTGAACGAACATTTATAAGGAGCGTAATTAGAATCACAGTCCAAATTGTCACTAAACGGGTCTTCCTTTGATTCACTCAAAGCATTTATAATTATTATTTCTTGGTACCGGTCCAATTTCTGATTGAGGTGTACACAACTACCACTTGTAGTTGCATTTTGCAACTCCAACTTTACTAATTTAACAGTGCTACTGATTTTACTCAATTCTTATACAAATATTTTAAACCCTAATATGGTTCGACCGAGATAACTAAACTGGTAATTACAAATAAAATTACTCACCAGATGAATTCATCTGGGAATCAACAACAATGAAAAATAAATAACTTTTATGTGTTACCACTCGAATACAACTGATACTAAATTATCCCTCTATTACATAATTAGATATATCTCTTTCAGATAATAATATAGGTCAGTGGCGGCTCGTGACATCTGCTATAGGGTGTGCTGCATGAACCACGGTCAATATAAAATAATAGAAATAGAATAACATACGAAAACAAAAACAATAAAATTAGCTTTAATACTAATTAATAGTAACTAATAACGACATGCTATAAAAATCTGATTAACTTACATTTATTGCATTTTTCTAAATTGGAAATTAATACGCCGGTCCTTTTTTGTCGCAAACTTTTCGATTACTTTATCTTTAAAGTTCGGTATTGAAGCGATGAACTTTTTTTCTATCGAGAGTGTGGAAAGGGCTGTTAATCTGTCTTCGCACATTGAATTTCTTAAAAATGTTTTGATCCGTTTTAAAGTTGAAAAACTACGTTCAGCTTCTGCTGTGGTCATTGGCGTAGTCACCAGAATTTGTATCAACTTTTTGGTTTCTGTTAATGTGTCCTCTAAATTATTAGAAATTATAAATTTTAGTAAAGGCACTGCACCTTTTAGATTCAATTGATGGGCGTAACAGTGCACAAAATGAGCAGTTTCATATTTTCTCTTAATTATTGTTTGCACTCCGCCATGTATCCCACTCATAACAGCTGCTCCGTCATAACTTTGTGCAATGAGCTTATTTTTGTTATTCTTTAATATTGGGTCTAAAACATTCAAAATTGTGTTAGCTAAGGTTTCAGCATCATGTTTTTCTGGAAGCAAAAAAGTCCAAAACCTTTCAACTGGAGCACCGTTTTTTACATAACGAAAAACAATGACCATTTGAAATTTCATAGAAACATCCGTTGTCTCATCAGCTATCACTGCTAAAAATGGGGCTTCATTGATTTCGTTTAAAATCTCCTCAGCGTATACTTCTAGCATGCAATCCAAAATATCATTTTGTATTGTTTTTGAGGTACCTTTGAAAATTGTCGCATTTGTAAGGTGTTCACTAAGTGTTTTATCAAGTTCAGCAGAAAAATTCACTAAACCACGAAAAATTCCAGGGTTATCTGATGTTTCAGATTCATCGTGTCCTCGTAAGGCGAGCTCAAAAGCCCCACAGAATTTTATACAGTCAATTATTTATTATTTATTAATTATTAATAAAAACCAGAGAATTACGAACACACATTAAATTTATTGTCTCCGAAGGCTCAGGTCAAAAAATCAACACAGATGTTGGCCTACTGGTGTGAAAGCGCTCGCAGACAACAATACGAATATAGTATTTTTAGGAAATAAAAATATATAGAGGGTTTTATACACGAGAATATTTGATTTAAACGAAACAAAGAAATTCCTAAAATGCTCAAACTAAAAATTGTTGGAGACATAATTAGATCGAAAATTGGGAAAATCTTAAAATTATAACAGAACAAGACTTCAAAATAAAAACATGATTGCAAATAAACAAACTTACATTAACATAACTTCAAATATTTGCTGTCTTTTTCACCAAACAAACTTACATTAAATTATGAAAAAACTAAATGCTCATCTACTTTTTGCTATATACAAAAGTTGTCTGTCAATGTTTAATTCGTTACATATAAATAACAAAGATCAAATATATGGATCGGAGTACACAACATATTTAGGGAATAAATATTTAAATGGGAATTACAAATAAAAAATATTAAAACTTTATTTATTGTATATCTCAATATTTAGTGACAATTTTGTGACTTAATCAGGAGAAAACTGTAAATTTATTAAGATGAGATATTGACAAAAGTTAAATACTTCATTATTTACAATACACTTCGAATATACTAATACTCTTATAGTTGTAAGTAATGAAGTATTATTTATAAATACAAATATATTTCATGTGCAATATTTCATATTTATTGAAAGTCAACATAAATGCTAAATTTTATTTAAGAATTTATATTGTGTAATATGCCCACTGACTATTAAAAAATAAGGTGCTTTCCTGTCATTTTCACTCGTTGGCGGCTTGCCCACGCAAGATGAAAGGAGTGTCGCTTCTCTGCGTTCGTAGTTCTCTGGCACAGATGCAACGGTCACGAATAACTGTCGTGAATTGCAGCTCGCAAACACATTTCCGAGGCCGTTAATCAGCCGATTGCCGAAGCACATCGGCTAAGATCGCCGTTTGCCTAATAAATGCATTTAACCGCTGCCAGTGTTTCGGTTGTTATCGACGCGGCTTCACTGGAGCAGCAAATACGTAAAAAGATTGCTTCACTGGAGCACCAAATACGTAAAAAAATTATACGGTTTCACTAGAGGAGTAAATACGTAAAAAAAATAATATTAATCATCGTTGTTGGTGAATTATTATTAACAGTTTATGTTTAATATGATAATATGGCAGATTTGAAATAAAACTATATTAATTATTCTTTAATAATTAAGATTTGCTATGGTTGTTTGGTAGTTCTGCAGCTCAGCAGCACATAAAGAAAAGCCGCCACTGATATAGGTAGCTATAATGTTAGTTTTTACCAATGCGTTTCGTGTGTACTTTACGTGCCAGATGGAAATAGATGTATTTATTTTTAACCGTAATTTCTGAAAATGTAGTTACCAGTCTTTTTCAACTGGTGACGCAGCGAAGGTGTTAAAGGACAGAAAAGGAAATAAATACAAACAGTGTGAGTCATTTAGATTGGAAACACCTGTATAAAATTTGAAGTTGGTCACTGATTTTAACCAATTTATTTTTCAAATGTAATTTGAAAAAATTCATGCAATAAAAGGTTTACTTCAGGTATTTTAGACAACATATGTTGTCAGTACCAGACCTTCCTACACAGAATCAACTTTTCTCCTTCTCATCTGTAACTTGGTTGTCTATTCTTTCTTTTATAATTTGCTTTTAAGTCTAGAAGCAGAGTTTATTCCAGTTAAACCTCTATAGTTGCAGCACTTTCTTTTGTCATCTTTTTATGGAAGTTTGACACTAAGGCTGTTTTCCATTTGAGTGGCAATTCTTTGACTCTCAAAAAGCAATTAATCATAAAAGTGAGAATTGCAGTAGCTAGTCCAGTCAATACCTTAAAAGTTCAATGGGGAGACCAGTAGGTCCAGAAGCTCGTCAATTTTTCATTGTCATTAAGGCTTTTTTTACTTCAGTTGTATTGGTGTTATTTAGTTTTCTTATATAAAAGATTTCTCTGTATTATATTTCGTCAAGTTGAATTTAGTGTCTTTTTCTTCAGATCTTACTTATGTTCCTTTTTTTCTCGAAAGAAATGTTCTAGAGTCTGGAAACTTGATACATAAGATACTCTTGGTCCAAAGAAAGGTTCATAGTTTCCTCTTGATTGCAGTAAGGGCAAAATAATTTAACTTCAGCCAAGAATGGCTTATGTAAAAATAGAATAAAGTATGGTAGTATTCTCATTTTGTAAGCCAAGGTAAAAAAATGCATAATGCAACATACAAAAGTAAACAAAGTATAAAGAATAACAATTAAATATTGAAGTTACAAGCATAGTGGTAGATATAATAAAGAACTAGGCCTATAACTATTAAGACTACAACAAAACAAACTACAACAAAAAAATCAGGAAGAACAATAGGGACACTTAAGGTTTAAGAGCAGTTGTGATGTACAATGGCTCCAAAGTAATTGTCAAATCTCTACAAATATAGTCATAAAAAAATCTACATTTATCTCATTTTAGACATTAAATTTTCAAAACTTACTTTTTACTACAATATCATTAATTTCAATCTCATCTGAACCTAAAACATTTTAATATCATCTAAATGATTACTATCCCAAATTTATGATATATATCTTATACCTTGTGTAATTTGAATATCACACAGATTTTCTGTAAAAACTGGAGTTAAATCTTGGCCATCCCAATCTGCATTACCACTACCACTATCCGCTTCTATGTCCTCAGTAACTTCCATTTTGATCTTTTTCTTCCTTGACCGAATTCTCTTTGATTTTGATGAAGAACCATTTATTAACTCTGTATTTACATTTTCACACTCCTCTACATGCTGCGTATTTGTAAGTCCACTTATTTCTAAGAACTCAGCAGTTTGTAAAAAATTATCAAAGTGACTACTATCCACACTAACTTCTCCACTATAAATGAATTTAAGAATATCCCTTAAAACAGTACATCTGACTCCTTTAAGTACTATAATGGGATGTTCTTGGGGAAAATCTCTAAACAGGTTGTTAAAATAATTGCTACAAGCTGAAAGTAACATTTTATGGGCACCGATTTTATTTCCTTCTACATATAAAGTAACATCTGTAAGATCACTGTTATTTAACAAATTATCAAATGCTTGTTTTACATGGTTCATGTGATTACTCCAAGTTACAGCAAATTGTTTTGCCTCATCCATGGAATTCATTGGTATTTAAACGTGTTTAAATCCCAATTTAAATGTTTAATGTTTACAAACAATTCTATTTTTGCAACAATCTGTCAAATATTCTTCTCTCTCAATATTTTCATGGTTGGCGTTGGCCTTTTATTTCCAAGCTGCCTGAAAAATTATTGATTTTTTTCCACCTTTTTTAAAATTTAGTGTGGCCTTTAACAAACTATGAATGTATCTCTGCTGATTAAAAATGAAGCTGTTAAAACTACTAATACACTAAAATTTTTATATAAAAGGTGAACTGGATATCGAGTTCTGGCAACAACATGAAACCACGATAATATAAGTTTACTCATTTTTTAGGTGACCAATTTAAGCAGCCCAATTGGCGATGGCAATTTTTCACCAATAACTGCTGATAATGAAGATTCACAATTGTCTCAAGACTCGACACTATCAGTTAGTAGTGCTGCTCCCTTTATCTACCAAAACTCCATATATGAAGAAAAAACGACTGCGAGCAGCAACAGATCCCGGGGATGAACTTCTTATTACAATAAACCACAAGTTATAACAGTCAACGCCAGTTGTCCAAAGAGAAAAGGATAGATTTGATATTTTTGGGGATAATGTAGCCGTAAAATTAAAGGTCGATTCAGACACATCAGTCACGTCTCGTCACAGTCCTGGCGCCGAACCGAACAATATATGTATTTTGAAACAGCAACTAATTTAATTTCAATGGGAGTTTGGTAGTTATGTTACGAAATTTATGCATAGCTGGATGCATCTTTTTACAAGGAATCCAGTGGCGTATTCAGGTCAGATTGTCCAAAAAGTTGAGATTGGTTGTTTTGCAAGTAGAGGTCTCATTTGTTGTAGCTATTAGCTAACTTAACCCGAACATTCTCTCTATACTTTTACCAAAAAATTGATTTGCGAATTGTGGCACTTCATGTTTTTCAATAACTAGACTTTATTTGGTATTTTTTATATTGTCTATAGTATTTACAGCAGAAGACAGAGAAACATTGAGAAGTCAGGAAGAGGCCTATATGGAGAAGGGCTTGAGCTTGAAGCAGAATAGGGCAATGTATTCCAATAAAATTTTACAGGCATTAATAAATATATGATTTACTAATTATGCAAAATTTATTCATACGATTAATGAAAAACAGATTTCTACCTAACACAAATATCTATCATCTTCTTCCCGAAAAATTGATATGATGGTATTTTCTTTCTTATTTGAAACACTAGTAAACCATTTAAAAAGAGATAGTTACGTAACTAATGCCGAAAATTGGCTTGGTAATTTGTCTTAATCAGCAATGACTAGAAAAGGAAAATATTTAATAATTATTAAGAAATATGTGTACAAAATTTACAATTTACATTAATGCACATTTTACAAAAAATATTATCTTACATATCTGAAAAAGTATAAACTCTATCAATACTACAGCCATTATAAGTATTCCTTCGTTGTTGTTATGGGACAATCCAGGGAATCTAAAAAAGATATAAAATTTGAGTAAATTCAAATCATTACAAATTTGTTATAATAAACTACTTGATGAAACTAAAACTATGAAAAGTGAATAGAAAAATGAACGAAAAAGATTTTGAACCTTCATCACATGTGAAAACCTATTTTAAGTCTGAAACGGTGTAACGAGAAACCCAGACAGCACAGGACATCCCTGGGACGTCCATTTTATGTCGTTTTAAGGTCCAAACGTCCCGGGACTTCTTTTGGACGTCCGAGGGACGTCCAAGGCATATTTCTAGTCGGACATACCAGAGACGTCCCATAAGGTCGTCCAAGGACGTCCCATTAGGGATGTATTAGGGACGTTTTCTAGGTGTTAACTGTGTCATTTTTTTACTTAAGCATATTTTTTAAAAATATTATTTTCCTACTAAACTTAATTTAAAAAGTTATATTTAGTTTTAAATACCATTAATTTATACGAAAACAGACAGAGGCTCCTTTTAGAGAAAAATCTTTATCCTATAGCAGAGCTGTATATCTAAAATTTTGTTCTGTAGTGGAACTGAAATTTAAAAATTAGGAGATAAAAGAAGAATGTGGTTATGTTTTAACGACGCTTCTATTTATCTCGTTTATTTCTCGAATTATAATAATTGTGGTTGTGGTTGTAATTAGAATTAGTTTATTGCTTTCGATACTAGTTTATAGTTTGGTAATTTATTATTATAGACATTAAGTAGGTATATACGACTTTTATAGGTAATTTTTGTGGTTGTGGTGTGTTGCTACATTTGTAAAGTAAGTAGGAGTAATGTGCTTAAAAAATACTATAAATTTAAATACATATGTTAATATAAGTACAGAATAAAAATCCCATTTATTTTTGCTTTTCATTTTATTAATTTTAAGTTCCCTTTAGGCCATGAACATCCCTGGGACGTCCAGGGGACGTACTTTTTGGTAACATTTAGGTCTTATTGGACGTCCCGGGGACGTCCAAATTATGTAAACGGATGTCCGTGGGATGTCCGGACATTTAATGAGGTACATCCTTTGGACGTCCATGGGACGTACTTGTGCTGTTTGGGAAGTTACTTTAATATTTCGTAAACATTTTTAAATAAATTTTAGAATCCCGATCCTCTTAATGACTTTCTGAATTTTAAAATTTAAGTTGGTAGTAAGCAACGCCATCTACGACGCTGTAAGGGCCATGACCATCGGTCTAATAATTAGCGATGATTCAGGATTTAACTTCTTGGGGGTAGGCTAAAAAGAACACTTGTGTTACAATTCCTTCTTACACTTAATAAAAAGATGGGAAATAATATGACAAAAAGTTTAGCAAAAAAGTCTAACACTATTTGATGTAAAATAAATTGATAAAATCGATAATTTTAAGGAAATATTTTTGATACACGGATATATTTTTGAAAATAAAAGGACGGTATAAGGCGGAATATTTTTACAGATAGTTTTAATAGATAATAGATAATCTAACGATGGATAATAATATGTTTTTAAAGCTGGAAAATAAAATAGAAAATTGGTCTGATTTTATAACAGTATTACATATAAATCCAGAATGGTTCTTAAGGAAATAATGTGAGAAAGGATAGATAGATATTGCACTATCGGAGAAAAAGTGACGATATTATAGAAGATAAAATGGCTGATAGTTTTTACACTTTTTATTTATAATCTAATTTATAGTTATCAACTCACCGACTAGTAGCGGCTTCTAAATTAACGATTAAACACTATCAAACAACTAAAAAACTCTATTCTTCCTTCCCAAACAAAATTATTATTCTTAAAATATATTTAGCCGGCTGCTGTCGCCTACCCTGTTAAACGATGTTCTTTCTCAAAAAGTCAAAACCCGAATCATCGCTAATTATTAGACCGATGGTCATGGCCCTTACAGCGTCGTAGATGGCGTTGCTTACTACCAACTTAAATTTTAAAATTCAGAAAGTCATTAAGAGGATCGGGATTCTAAAATTTATTTAAAAATGTTTACGAAATATTAAAGTAACGTTCTTGTTACAACGGAATCTGACACAGATAGTAAACGTAGTAACGATGAAATATTTTTAAACGAAGATAATATAGAAGATATACCTATTTTTTGCAATAAACAACCCGCTGATGAGGGCAGTATTAGTACAAAAAAATTGCCGTACTGCAAAATACAATTCTGACAGAGGCTTCTCCTTTGTCACGTATATGCAAGCCTAAATTAACACAACTACCTGACACATCGCTAAATATTCAGCAAAAATTGGAATTTCAAGAAGAAGAATCCATAGAAGTTAATAACAGTGTAGCTTCTATTTAAATAAAGTGCCAACAGTATGTAGAACAAATCGATTCGATAAGGACACAAGAAGAAAAAGAGAATAATAAAAACGAAAACAACAATCAAATATCTTCATTAATTAATAAATTTTTGATCTATCCGAAAACCCTAGAAAGAAAGCAGAGAATAAACAAAGAAGATTAGAGAAGACTAATGCAACGAAAAAGGAAAATGATATTGGCTACATGGAATGTACAAGGACTGAGAACCAAACAAGCAGAAGTATTCAAAGAATTAGCGGAAAGAAAAATAGATATATGTGTTCTCACAGAAACCAAGAAAAAGGGAAAAGGAAATGAAGAGATAGGAGAATATATACATATCTACAGCGGAGTGAGTAAAGATAACAGAGCTAAGAGGGGAGTCTCTATTGCCATTCGAAAAAATCTTAAAAGCAACATTAAATCGTGGACTGAAGTAAATGAACAACTACTAACACTGGAAATGAAAAAGAATGGGCACAATATCGTAATTGTCGGAGTATATGCCCCAAACGAAGATGCAAATCCAGAAAGTAAAGACGATTTCTACGACAATATGAATGAAATACTCTCTGAAGTTAAAGAAAACTGTGAAATCTTTATACTAGGAGATTTAAACGGCAGAGTAGGGACAGAAGAAAATAGTAGAGTCGTAGGAAGATATGGAGAACAAATAACCAATGACAACGGAATGCGTCTTAGAGATTTTTGTGAAATAATGTCTCTCAAAATTATGAATGGGTTTTTTCAACATAGAGACATCCACAAATTTACATGGATACAACCTACTAGGAATCTGCGCTCGATAATCGACTTTGTAATCCAACGTCAAACTTCCCAGCTGAAAACAACTGACGTAAGGGTATACCGTGGATCAGAATGTGGATCCGACCATCATTTACTTATGGCCAATGTGATAGTTAACTATCGCAAAAACAATAACACTCAGGTACAGAATATAAAAAAGGGACAAAAAGTAACATCTCCTAAATATAACCTAGAAAGCTTAAAAGAAGATTCAACAAAATTTCTTTACAAATTACGACTGGCCACAAAATTACAAAATGTGGATCGAGAAAATATAACAGCGGAAGAATTATACCAACAACTTAAAAAGTACATTCATGAGGCTGCAAGTGAAGCTTTGGGGTATAAAGACAAACATGAAACAAAAAATCAAGAATGGTGGTCGGAGAATATGCAAACGTTAGTAAACAAGAAGAAAACTGCTTATCAGAAATGGATGTCAACGAGAAAGGAGGAAGATCACAAGGTATATACGAAATTAAATCGAGATGTAAAAAGAGAAGTAGTGAAAAGTAAAAATGAGATGTGGGATCGAAGATGTGCAGAGGTGGATAGGTATATGGGTGGAACAAGAGTTGGGCAAGCGTGGAAGGTGATAAAGTCTCTCCGGAGGGAAGGAAAGGAAAAATCTAACTTAAAATTAATAGATCTGAAACAGTGGAAACAGCATTATGAGGTCTTATTGACAGAGGATAGACGTACATTCCAAGATATCGAAATGGAAGAAATATCTGAACATACACAAATAATTGAGATAACAACCGGAGAGTTAAGCGATGCCCTCAAAAGATCGAAAAACGGTAAAGCAGCAGGACCTGGAGACATCCCAATTGAGTTGGTAAAGTATGGACCAAAAATATTACACGAGATGATGGTTAAACTATTTAATAAATGCTTAAAAGGACAAAATATCCCTGATGATTGGAATGTTGGATACATCAGCTCAATATACAAAAAAGGGGATAAACGCAATTGCTCTAATTATAGAGGAATAACTGTTAATAGTTGGGAGGTTGTACGGTCAAATAATAAAAAAACGAATTTAATCAGAATATGAAGACATAGAGGAACAAAATGGATTTCGGGCAGGAAGATCGTGCATTGATAATATATTCGTTCTGCAGCAGGTAATCGAAAAACGGAAGGCAAGGAATCTATCTACCCACCTATTGTTTGTAGATTTAGAGAAGGCATATGATACGGTACCTATGAAAAAACTATTTTATACATTGACGAAAGTAGGTCTCAGTAGAGAGTATGTGGATGCTATCGCAAATATATACAAAAATGCAAGAAGTGTCGTTAAAGAAGGAAACTTTATATCTGAATCATTTCCAATAACCAAGGGGCTTAAACAAGGATATTGTCTGTCTCCGATCCTGTTTAAAATATATATTCAATCATCGCAAGAGCAGTGGAGAAAACAAGTATCCGGAATGGGAATAGACATAGGCGGTGGTGAATGTCTAACAGCTTTATTTTTCGCAGATGATCAGGTAGTCGTAGCGAATGACGAGGAAGACATGGACTACATGTTTAGAAAACTAAAGAAAGAATATGAAAAATGGGGCCTCAATATGAATATGGCAAAGACAGAGTATCTTAAAATAGGAGATGGTGAAGAAGATCCAGAGTTAGAAATTAGAAACACAAAAACATGCAATGAATATAAATATCTCGGATCTATAATATCTAAAGAAGGCACTACCAAAAGAGACATCGAAAACAGAACACAGCAGGGAAAAAAAGTGGTAAACATTCTAAACTCTCTACTTTGGTCTAAAGATATTAGACAAGAAATGAAATTGACAATCTATCGAACCTTGGTAGAGCCTATTATGACTTATGGGGCAGAGGTTTGGCAGATAACGCAGAAGGATAGAAAAAGAATAGAAGTAGTAGAAATGGATTTTCTAAGGAGAGCGTGTGGTATATCCAAAAAAGATCACATCAGGAATGAAGATATTAGAAGGAGGACAAATACTGTATATTCCAGTGTAGATAGAATTGAAACGAGACAACTAGTGTGGTATGGTCACGTGAAACGAATGATTGAAGATAGATGGCCAAAGAAAGCTTTAAATTACATACCACAACAAAGAAGAAGAAGGGGAAGGCCTTCAGTTGCCTGGGAAGAAAATGTACGGCACATAATGAGAGATAGAGCCATCAGAGAAGACGAATGGATGGACAGAAAACGATGGCGGTCGAAATGCGAGAAACGGCAGAGGCTGTAGGAACCTCGCTTATATATATATATATATATATATATATATATATATATATATATATATATATATATATATATATAAACGAAGAATGATCACAGCTGTCTAATTTATGTCATTATTCAGCTGCTAACCCAATCAACCTTACCATTATACTAATATATATATATATATATATATATATATATATATATATATATATATATATATATATATATATAGTAGTTTTGAGTTTCTTGAACCGTATTATATTTAATATAAAATTAATGTTTCTTGGGTTTGGGTTCAATAAAGATATGTTACATGTGGAACTAGATTTTATTTTCCATTGCAATTAATCAACGTTGATTAATTGCAATGGAAAATAAAATCTAGTTCCACATGTAACATATCTTTATTGAACCCAAACCCAAGAAACATTAATTTTATATTATATATATATATATATATATATATATACATATATATATATATATATATATATATATATATATATATATATATATATATATATATATATAGATTAGAGAAGCAACAGATAAAGAAGGATAAAGAGATATTTCAAAAAAGAAACCTCTAAAAACCTTAAAAAACAAGGCAAATAGTCATAGCCATTTCATCAAGATGTTCAGAACCATTCAGATCTGGTTGCAGTCCTTCTAGAAGCTATGGTACTAGCAACAATAACCATGACCTACAAAATTCAACAGACCTAAATTTTCGCAGATCGCAAGTATCGGACGCTGTTACTCCAAATTTAAAATCCAAAGTCTCCCAAATAAAAAATCTTATTCAAGAAAGTCCAGAACCGTCACCACAATCTTTACCAGAAAACAATACGATTGTTCCGTGGGGACTATGTTTAATTTGTACGCACAATATTTACAGGACAAACATAGGAATAAAATGTCAGGAGTGTACTAGGACTTATCATGTTAGCTGTTTAACTAAATACAAATTATATAAAGAAAAATTTATTTGTAGCACTTGCATTGCTAAAAAAATCCTATAAGAATACCTGAATGTAAACACAATATAAGATTTCTTTTACTTTAGTTGTTTAGTTAAAATAATTTTTTAGTTGGTTTTTACCAGAATTTAAATTGTGTTTTAAAGAATACAGCATTTTGTTTTTGAATTTGGTAATTAAAAAAAAATTGTATATTTCGTAACTTACTTCAAAAAACTTCGATTTTCAATAAAATTAAATAATATTTGCAATCAAAATATGATTACAAAATATTCAAAGTGGCCCGAAAGTGATAAATCTTCATAAAAATACATATTGATCATATGGAAAGCACTTGATTATTTTAGAGGTAATTTTATTAATATGATCTCCTTAGAGTGCCAATCATTGGATAGTTTATCCTATTAATAAATTGTATTTATAAATACATATTAAATTTAGATTAAAAATAATTATTATTATGTATTGTGATTGTGCTATGCCAAAACAACTAAATAGTCTGTAGAAAGCTGATGCGATTTAATAGATTATTATGAACAAGAGAATAGTTTTTACTATTTACTACAAAACAAAAGTTTTGCTTTGTTTCTGTATATTTATATATGTTTCCATCTCAGTCAGAAATTTTTGTTTAGAAATGTTGTACAGATTATTATTACAATTATTTTGGTACTAAATTTGCCCGGTTACCAACAATTTATACCTAGGTTTTGTTCATAAACGCCGGCGCCGCTAACATTTAATAGTACAGTAGTAGATATAATTACCCTCATCACTACTGAAATCCGTATCTGGGTTGAAGTTATCAGCTGTTTGCTTCCAAGCTTTACAAATTTTCTGTTTTTCCTCTGAAGATAATGTATATCTAGGATTTGTAATATCAGGTAAAATCTACAATAAATATTAATTATTTAAAGAGTTTAAATGTCCAATCAGACAAAACTTTTGTATTTTTTTTAACACATTGCCTGCCACACGCTTTCCCAAAAAGTTTCATGGGGCGCCACCCCAAAAAAGTTGTTCAATTCTTGGAGGCCATGTCAGACAGATATAACTGACAGAAGGCCATGTCAGTTATATATGACTGACACAATAGCTTTTGAATACCCTTCTATCACTCAAAATTACGTGAGGGTATATGGATTTTTATATGCAATTTTGTTGTTGTGGCGTCTAGTGATACTTCATTAAAATATTGGTGGCGCTCCAAGAAAAAATAATGAAAAATTAAAAGAAAAAAATAGTTTTTATTTTTGCCATACAAACGTGAAACAAAAACAGCAAAATATAAATTTATTATGTATAAATATTTTTAAAGCAGTCCATGCACATATAAGGTTGATCAGGACAAACCACAGCAATAAGTCATTAATTTTTTCACTTTCTTTCTGGCTTCCGATTTTCCTAGAGAACCAATCAAATGTCTGTAACAAGGCTTGCAAATACGACGAATTTTTTTGTCTTTGGTCAATGCATGTCCTATTTTTTTTATAGGTTCTTCTCTTAGTTCTATGTCTAACATTTGCTGAACCAGCTGTTCTCTAAACCTTCATATTTGCATCTTTTTTTCTTTGAAACCATTTTCATTACCAGGTCAGCATTGACAACACTAATGCCGAGGAGATATTCCATGGCCAGCTTCCTGAACCACTTTATCCCTTTTCTTAAAGTTGTCGCATAAGAAGACATTTCGTCAGATATGTCTATGCCAGATTTTCCTTGATTGTAAGCTACTACCATACTTGGTTTTATTTTAGTTTCCTTTCTCTTCTTTTTCTTAAGCTGTCTACTGGTTGATGCTGTCAATATGGTTGTGTTCTCTTTATTTTGTGAGGTATCAATCAAGTCAGGAGCATATTTGGTAGACAGTAATTTTACAACACGAGTGTCTCACCACATAAGAGTTACTATTCCATTTTTGTCTTCTCTACTTACAGATTCACCTTTCTTCAGCTTTTTCATCATAACTTCTTTTGGAAAATGTTTTCTTGAGGTCCTAACAGTACCGATTAAATGCATATTTTGATTTAAGAGCGATAAAGCCAAAGGGTAACTAGTGTAGAAGTTATCACCAAACAACATACGACTTTGATTTAGAAGGCCTTGAGACAATTTTAGACACACATGATGACCCAAACCTAAATTTGTGTCAAATGTTTCTGCTTTGCTTCATAAATGCTTGCAGTCCAGGTATCCAGGTCCATATCGGTGGGCTTTATTGGGAATTTATTGTCGAAAAATTAATCTACCTGTCCATAGTACCAAAGATTTATCAATAACAACGTTCTTACCCCGGGTGTACACATTTTGATATTTTGTATTCAATGAATCAACCAAAGATTTGATTTTATCAATACGACTTATAGTAGGTGTCTCTGGATCTTTAAAATGTATAAACTTCAGCAACAATTCATATCTGTTTCTAGACATTATTTTAAGTGCCAGGGAAATATTATAAATACTCTTGGTAGACCAGTAAGTTTGAATATTTTCTGTCTTTACCAGACCCATCCATAAAGCGAGGTCCAGAATTTTTTTTATTTCACATTTCAAAATTTTAAAGCAAAACTGACATTTTACATTACATTTATTTGGTATTGCTAAATTTTATAATATAATCATAAAGTAGTGTGGAGTAAACTTCCTGACTTATTTTGTATGCTTTAAATGATGACACACAGGTAAACAACCATGGACTTTATGAGGGTTTCTAGTACCACAGAATGACTGGTCTATCTGGAATAATCAACAATCTCGCTACCAACAATTGCTTCATGCCTTGCACCCACAGCAATGTTACTTTGTTGTGCTCTGCCAGTTGCTTATGGGTTTGTTTGCAGTTCCAAGATGATATCAATTCATTAGTTATAGACTTTAGAAATGTATTTTAGCTAAATTGAGGCGTTTTTTAAGCTCCCTTAAGCATAAAAAACCAATTGGTAGCAATTCCACTTAAAACACTGTAAGACTATTTCTGAATACTATTGACAGCATAAATGTACTTACTTTTTTCTCAAAGCGATTTTGCAGGCTCATCCATGTCCTGTCCTGACAAAAGAATCCACCCTGAGCCAGATCTTTCCAGAGTATTGTTCCTCTCGTTTGATAATAAAGTTTTCCCTTCACTATCAATTCAAGAATTAAATTATCTTCGTTTATTGAATAAGCCCTTCTATACCCAGCCATATCTATAATTTCTATCTGCAAAGCACTTTTATTTAAGTTAATTTTATTTAAATTTATTGTTCAGGGTCTTTAAAAAATGTAAAATAATATATGTCAATATTAACAAAAAAAATGTTTGAATGAGTTTTTAAAACAATGATATAAAAAAATAAAAGAAAAAAATTTATCAACAATTCAAAAAGTTAATTATTGTTTTGTATGTTTGGTTATGTTTATATTTCAAGTTTATTCTTCTTATTTTAACAAGTATGTGAAGACTGAAGACTAGTGAAGACCACAATTTGTCAGTTAACTGTCATTAGGTATATTGAATTTTTGTGTATTTTATTAAAAATAGGTATATTTCAATATTTAATTTAATATAAAAATATCATTTTTTATCTGTCGATCTTCTAAAGATGAGTTTTATCTTAGTTTTATATATTAATTTTTCATAGTTATTTTTAAAGTGGTAGTGCGAAACAACTGGAATAAAAAAAGAAGAAAATTTGTGGTTGGTTTTGTAAATTCTGAATTTTGATAAATTGATATTTATTAAAATATAAGTATATTTATAATTATAATTCGAAATCATGAATACTTGTAAGATACCGGTGCCAGTCGACGATAGTGATGGTGATCACAGGTGGTTAAGTATTGTATGTAGATATATTTGTCTGTAAAATTACATTTACTTAATATTATATTTTAGCATAATCGGTTCCTTTCCGAAAGTAAAGAAAAAGATGCCGATGTTATTTTTATAGGAGATTCAATAGTGCAAGCCCTTCAACATACTGATGTTTGGAATGAACTTTTTGTTCCTTTACATTGTTTAAATTTCGGAATTCATAGGGATAAAATAGAAAACGTGCTGTGGCGAATTCAGAATGGGGAACTAGATAATGTAAAACCTAAAGTAAGTCTATTAATGTAACAGTACATGACAATATAAAAAAATCTGGGGCTTTCTTGGTGTTTTGCGCAGCATTCCAGCCTTTATGATGTGAATTTTCTTTAGGAAATATCAGAGCCAAACTTGTCAATTCAATCAAAATTATCCTGTTTTCTATTTGACACCAATATATGTAAATTCACATCCGTTCAGGGTCTATGTATGACTATTTATTGTTATATAGATTATAATCATACAACAGTTCAATAACATTGAACAATATCTATTGGTATGATAGCTTATTTTAAAGCAAAATACATGATTTTCTTTTACTTTTCCAAAACTATTCTTATAAAGAATTGTGAGTAGAATCAAAAAAGTTATGTTAAAAAGTTAGGTATAAATATCACAAACCTAATTACGTAATTTAGTTTTACACATCAAAATGATAATTACCTATTCCACATCCACTCTAAACACATGCTTGAGACCAGAAATGAATTCGGCCTTTAGTGCAAAAAAATCTAGATCTAGGTGAATATTTGCCCATCTTAGTGCTCAAGATAAAAAATTATTATATGCATAGTTGGTTCTGTGAAGAGGAAAATAAAAAGCTTGGTCTAATCATGTTCTACTTAAAGGTACATGCAGACCAACCAGCTCAAGCAACTGAGGACACAAGACTATAGAATTAATTATGCCATAAAGCATCTTTGCATCTTTAATTAATCGTCAGTCATACAATGAGAGAATATCAAGTTGGGTTTCAATTTGATCATAATTTACTTACGAATACACATTAACGAATATAGTGTTTGCATACCATATGCATACTGTTTAGCTCATATATGTGTACCAAACTTTATAAGATGGAGAGCATATAAAAGAACAGTACTCTAGATGGGGCCTGATTAAAGAACAATATAGTAATTTAATTGCTTCAATATTCTGAAAGTCTATACTGAATCTTTTTATTAAACCAAGCATTTGTAAGGCCTTAGAAATTATTGACATTTTAACAATTTAAATAAAAGTTTAAGAGTCTAAATTAATTCCCAGATTACGAATTTCAGTAACCCAGTCAACGAGAATGTTCTGTATATTATAATTAAATTCCATTAGGTCTCTTGATCGCTCAAAAGAAACAGCATGACCCTTGGATGCGTTCAGAGCCATGGCATTCAACACACACCACTCACTCAACTGATCGAGATTGTGTTGAAGATTAACACAATATATTATTGATAATTGTATAGAACTTTACATCGTCTGCAAAAAGAAGAGATGAACTGTGCTGGAAGCAGTGGTGTATATTATTGATGAATATGTTAAATAACAGGGGTCCTAAATGAGAACCTTGGGGTACTCCTGAATGAACTTTAATCTCACTAGAAACAAAATCCTTGATACACACCATCTGAATTTGATCAATCAAGTATGTTCTCAGCCATTTAAGAAGTGGCCCATCAACACCCTTTTTTTAAGTTAATATATATATATTATGGTTGACCCAATCAAAGGCCCTCTCCATGGCCTTCCTTAGGAAGTCCACAAACACTAGTATATTACATTCAGTTGATCTTTTATTCCGAAATCCAAATTGTTGGTCTGCTAGTGGTTTTTTAATGTGAAGCTTTAAGATAGTCACATACAAAATATTCAAATATCTTTGGTATTACACTAATTGTACTAACGGGCCTGTACTTATTCACCAATAAATTATCTCCCACTTTAAAAATAGGTGTTAAAAAACTATTTTTTCAGCATTCTGGAAGTTCACCCTTATTTAAGAATGGATTAAAAATGTGAAAAAGAAATTTGGATAATATAAAACAACAATTCTTGAGAAAGCTGGAATGCAATCCATCAGGACCAGTACCCTTATTCACATCCAGTTCTGATCATTTTAAATAAATATCAGATATAGTTTTGTTAAAACCAGTCAAGTTAGTAAGATCAAGTGAAGGTGAATCACTGGGCATGTCACATATTTGAGTGGAATAGACTGTAGAAAAATATTCTGCAAAATGACTGTCCATGACTGGATTCAACCCTAACCTAACTCAACACATCGGGCAAGGAAGGCTTTCCCCTCTGCAAATTCAGAAACAACCAAAATCCCTTCAAATTATTTCCTAGTGATAATTCTATCAAATAAATATGATTTCTATATTTTTCAGTCTTTAACAATTTACAGTTGGCTGTAAAAGCTAAGAAAAATGTGATAATCTATCAGGTCCTTTAACTCTGGTGAGAAGCAAGAAGGGAATCTATGTTTTGAATACCTTTTTAGGGGGATAAATAATTGTATAGCTAAATAAACTATAAAAATCAGTTATTTTCACATAGTCAGCCAACTTACAGTCCCTATAGAAACCATCACTAACCAAACCAGTATTATTGGGGCACCTTTTGGTCATCTTTATCTCAAATTCCAGTGGTGGGTGGTGCATACCCTCTCTCAAAAAAGGGCTTCATCTGCCCTGGACACATTTACATCAGCATCTAAAACCAGTACCAAATTGAGAATATTACCAGTTGAATTCACAATAGCGTTGGACTGAAACCAATTGTGGTATGCACACATACTAGACACACTCTGCAGGGCTTCAACTTCATATGCTGTGGCAGCTGGTAGAGGAATTGTTATAGAGCACATGCCATTTAAAAACCATTCACAGTTTGGTAAATTGAAGTCAGCATCCAGATAATAGTATGCAGATGGATAAACTTCAGCAATTTGTTCTGTATTGCTTCTAAAATATGATAGAGTGGAGCAACAAATGCAACTTTAGATATTTTCTTATGTAGATGCTACATGGTTGTGTGCATAGAATGCTTAGTATTAAATTTTTGCATTTTATAAAATTAGAAACTACTACTACTACTACTCATGCAGCATTTTTTTTTGAAGAAAATAAAATAATATTTTAACTTTTAATAACTGAATCTTAGTAGAAAATATTGTGATTCAAATTTTTAATTCAAATGTGTACAAATCTAGAAATAGTATTAATTAATACTCTTCTTATAAAATATAAATAAAATTAATTAATTAAAAAAGTCAATCACTGGGAGAGAAAGCCCAAAAAAATTCCTTGATCAAAAACCTTGATAAAATGAATCAATTCCTGATCTCGTTATGTATGCTAGAAATTTTTTTTATACATACACCAAAGAATTATTTTTTATAATTTGAAAATTAGAAATTATAAAGTATAATTTCGGGTTTTTAAGAGAAAAGAGACTTCAGGAGAATACCCCCTCACAACAGAGTTGCTAAGAAACCAATAGGGTCTAATGAGCAGACTAGGTCATAAATCAAAAGGATAAAAGTATCCAGAATGGTGGTAGCACACAAACATCACCCTGATTCTCTACTAGATCGGACTCAAGCAGATCTGATTATTAACAAACTGAAACAAGCTGTTATATTAGTTACATAGTTACATACTTCACCTATATTTTTACCATCGTTTTTATATTGTGTATTTTATATATGAATAAAATTAACTCAATCCCATATACAAAGGTTGAAAAGCTTATGTTTTAGGTTATTATTTTGCATGTTGGTACAAATAATCTTTCAAATACACCTGAAGAAATAAGGGATGGACTTATGGAACTAATAGAAATTATTAGAAAAAAGCATCCAAATGTTTACATTGTTGTTCCGGTAAGTAATTGTTGGCCTTTGCCCAAAAATAGTGGACTAATAAATTAAATAATTAATCCAACAAACAAGATACTGGATTCTTTGTACTGGTTCTATATGTTTGTTAATAGATACGAATATTAATGTCGACATTTGGTGCATGTGTAACATAATTAGACAATATATTAATGTAATTATTTTAAAGTGTAATATTAATTGATGCATATTTTATTTCAGACTTTATTGCCTAGAGGTCAAAACCCAAACCCAGTCAGAGAAAAAATATCCAGGGTCAACAAACTTCTAAAAGCATCACTAGACAGTCAATTTAAAATAGAACTGGTAACTATTGATAATGGATTTGTTCGTACAGATGGAACAATTAGTCATCATGATATGTATGATTATTTATTGTTGACAAATTCTGGTTGTAAAAAAGCATTTGAACCAGTCTATGACCTCTTGTTGCAGCTGTTAAGCGATGGTGAACCAGAAAATGACCTTACCCCCTCAGAGTAAATAAACTGCGATATTGTCAAATTGTTGGGCAAGAATAATTACTTTCTTAAAATATATTTTTATAAGCAAATAGATCTTTTAAGTTAAAGTTTATATATTGATTCATAGCATTCTGAAAACAAAAGATTTTAAAATAGTTTAATTTTGCAGCATATTTTCTTATCCATATTCTATTATCGACTCTTATCCTTACTTAGGATCACAGTGGGTTTATATAACACAGTACATATACTGTATAAATCAAAATATTGATTTTATAAATGCTAGAAAATCCTTACTTCCTTTTAAGAATGGTTTGTTGATATATTTATTTAAGTATAGATAATTGATGGATTCGACCGTTACTTGATGAAAATTCATTTTATGTATTGCCTTTCTCAAGTGATCTATTTTTGGCATGCGTTTACACTTTAGTCTTTAATGAAATAGGTTGAGGAGGGGAGAACTGTTTGTCTCCAGTTGGTCATTCAGAATTATATTTGTGTTTTTTAATTTGTTGATTTCCATATATTCTAACAAAGATAGCTTAAGACCTTTATTTTGAATGTGAAGAATTTTAAATTCATCATTAAAAGAATGATTATGATCCAGAAGATGAAGTGCGTATGTATTTTTCTATTATTGAAAGCCCTTTTATGTTCTACTATTCGTTTACTAAAATTTCTACCAGTTTGACCAATGTAAGTTTTTGGGCAGTCGCCACATTTAAGTTTGTACACACCAAAATAGAGATAAAGAGCCAAAATAAAAAAAAACACTTACGCAGTGGTAAGAGTGGTTAAGAGTTTAAAATAAATTTTGTGGAAGTTTTGAAAACCAAAGTTTTCAGTGTTTTATTGTTACACAAGTATAGATGAGGTTGTTATTTCTTGTTGACTATGGATATATGTAAAGGTTTCTTTGATTAAAGAATTTATATATCCAATAGATATATGTCCACCCATTTAACTAAATGATTTTTGTAAGATGTAACTGTTGCTAAGAAGTATCTGAGCACTACGAGCACGGTCCGATAAGTACTTAGCCTGCAAAATAAAAACAAACATTTTGGAAAAGTATTTCTCAACATAGTCTTCTTTTAGCTTGATACACTTGACCGAGCGATGGTATAACTTCTTTAATATGTCTTAATAATACGGTTTCTGCCCAATGTCTTAATAATACGTCAAATTTCTGCCCGATGACTGATTTTTTCAAGTTTGGAAACTAAAAAAAGTCTCACGGGACCAAATCTGGAGAATACGGAGGATGAGGCATTTCTATTCGACCAATTTGGTAGCGAAGACGGAGGTGCGAGCCGATGCACGGTCATGGTACGAGAATACTATTTTCTTCGTCAAATTCCTTCATCTTTTAATCGGCAGATTGCCAATACGAGATCGTGGATTTTTATCACGTTTGTGGTAGTCGTTTTCGAGGCACCGTACCCTCTCATCATTAAAATAGTAATTCGTTCTTTTTCTTTAAGACCCATTTTAGAAAAGCAATTTATCTTGCAGAACTTTTCGAAACACAAGTACTGTCAGTTTTAGTTAATAATGTAAGTGGTGAACAAATGTCACAATCACAGCATTCTACATTTAAATATTTAAATTTATTAAAATCTACATATTTTGCACTGTTTTATGTATTTAAAACCTTCCAGACTACATAAAATCATAAGTGTTACATATGGTTGAACTCGTATTGAATAGGAGATTCGGATAATGACTGAATATACAGGGTGATGAATTTGAAAAGCCAAAGTTACTAATAATATAAGAGAAACGGCAAATCTGGCAACATTGCAAATATCAAATATGGAATCTCCGTATCCCAAAATAGGTGTACCTTAAATTATTATGACTAGCAATTTACGAGATAATTGGTCGTTTCCAGTCTTTTGGGGCACTCTGTATATACACGATAAAAACATAAATAGCTGCAAAACTTAAATCTACAACTGAAAAGCAGTTTCATGCTAAATCAGTGACTGATACTTAAAAATATATTTTATAGAAAGTTATTATGGTCAGCTCAATATGATGCCTTGTACTTTTCTTTATATTTTCAAATATAAAAATGCAGATACAAAGTTCAGAACCAAAAAATATGTAAGAAAAATGGTTATTGCAAATTGACATAATTGTTTTTTAAATTAATTTTGGTTTTATCCGAATTATTAACTTTTAAAAATCACCATTAATGTCTAAAATCGTTATAAAATTATCATTTTCTTTCTCCTTTTTACATTAAATCGGGTGGAAGATAAATATGTTAAGGGGTTACAAAAATTTTAAAATAGGTTTTTAAAATATGGGCCTATTTTATTTATTTGTAATATGCTTTGTTTCTTTTTTACTTAAAATCTTTTTATTTTAAAATTATCTTTCCTGTGATAATCATTTATTGTTTTTTTTTATTTTAATTACTCATCATTCGACATCATATATTATGACTGATATTATAGTCATGTTACAGCATTTATTTTTAAATCTAATTGGTATATTTCATAACAAAACATCCCACACACTTAGTTCAATTTTAGTCATCCTATTATAACTCTAGGCGTACGTCTGCTGTCTTATTGCTAATACTGGTTGTAAGTATCTAAATAAGGATTTTCTTACCTATATCACAGTATCAGAATTCTAAAAAGTAAGTCATACTTTCAATGTAGACCTTTGCAGGATTGAGGGGAAAGGAAATCGACGAGTTAAAGGCGTGCGGTTTTTGTTAAAAAAAAAAATAATCAAGATTTTAGAACGAGATGATTATCATAAAAATTATTTTTTTATTTTATAGATGCCTTAGATGAAGAAAACTAATCCTTGTTAAATATATTTTTTGGTAAAAACCTTTTATCTGTTTAAATTAATAAACGTACGACTGATTCAACGATTAAATTTATTTTCTATTGTCAAATGAGATTTAATTACTTAGAAAAAGGGTCGTCTAGTAACTTTTAGCACAGGTAAAACTGAATTACTTAAACAATTCTTGGTATGAAACAGTACTATAATAGTAATAAATGGGTCACGTTAACCGAATATTTATCAAGGTTTCACATATTCTGCTCTTCTTTCTCTACATGCTTAATACATTTTATCCACGACTGTAAGCTCACATTGCTGAAGGCACTATTAAGCAGATTTTTTATATAATTGAATTTAAAAGTAACATTGTTCCTTGCTACTCTATTATTATTTGACCCCACATACGTTCTATCGGGTTTAACTCACAATGGCATGGTGGCAATCGAACTATAATTACGCCTCGTTCTCGCGCCATTTCATCTACTACATATTTAACATATTTATCTTTATGACACCCTGCTAAGTTTAGTAACTCGATTTTTAAAATTGGTTTATTGAATTTAATATGTTTTTATCAAGCCAATCCGCTATTTCGGCTTTTTTTCCATTTAGTAGTTGGTAACTGTTCTACACACCGGCAGTGATATGGAGCGTTATCCATAATAATAACAGATCCTGGTTTGATTTTTAACAGAATATCTGAAAACTGTTTTTAATAATGATCTGGTAATTTTCTCAAGGTAATCTCCAGTCTTTTTAGAAACAAATGCATGTAAACCTACTTCAACAAATCCTTGAGTCGCTACCAATGTGACTAATAATAAGGCGTTTTCGCTTTCCAGATGTGGCTTTTAAACTTATCGACAAACCAGTTAGGAAAGCTTGTCGTTTCTTTTTCACATTTAAATCCTGCCAATTTTTTGTCACAGTATATCCTTCAGTTAACCATATTTCCAGTGTATGATATGTTTCTTTTCATCTCTTTGAAATTTTGCTATTTGTTTCAGATACTTTCTGCGCCATAAAATAATTTCTTATTTTTTAATAGGGGTACTATTTCTTTTTCTCTTGAAATACCTTTAAAGTTAATTTCAGGTAAGTATTATATATTTTTTTAATATGGTAATTCCTTTTTAAAATACAATTCATGTATTGCACGAGAAATGACCTGTTTGGTTGTATTGTTCAATTTTATTTGTTTCCTCCCTCTTGTCTCAACCTTGAAAGTATTATCATATAGTTTGTTATCGTGCCTTTTAATTACTCTGTACATACTAACTTCGGAAACTTTTTTCAAAATACTTCATAATGTAACTACATCATTTACACTCATATTTTGTTCTCTGGCTCTAAGCCCTTCAAACACATTTCCGATCATAGTTTTTTCTTCGGGTGTTTAACTGTGACTTTTCTTTTTGATATACGGTTCACTATACTACTGTCAGTCATATTCATTATTTGTCACCAAATTGAATTAAACTAAATTACTTACAATTTACACAAAAAGTAAACGTAAAGGCTACTTCACTAATAATAATACTACATACAATTATATATTCATTTATATATGTAGTCTAATGTTTTATGGGGGATGCTTATGCCGTTTTTGACGCTATTTGAAGATGCCGAAATACGAAAATATTTAGACTAATATGTACTTATAATTGCCTTCATTTATTTAATGCAACATTACGAAACTGAATATGTCAAATATTTTTTAATATTTTTATCTTCAACCATTTTTCTTTCATCCTTAATACTTGCAAAGATAGTTTCGTTTTATTGATCTCTTTATAATCGAATTTCAGTCTATAAAACATGTCAAATAGTCAGTGGCGTATAAATGAAAATAAGTGAGAAATGTTAATTTGTAATAAAATGTGTTTTTGATAAAGCAATTTACAATGATATATACTTTATTGTATCATTGTTAAAAATATATGTAAAATGTTATTATCTGTTAAAAGGTGACTTTTAAAGAAAACGCTAGTTCAAATGTAAAAGTACTTGCATCATTAACAATTGTGATATTTGTACTACCAGAGTTGTACGCTACTGACCTCTTTAGTACGATTACATAACTTATAACTGATTTAAGAATCTGTAGCAAAAACTAAACCAAAATTTGGACAAAAAAGTATGATTGTAAGTAACTCCGTTACTTAAGCTTATATTTAGATTTTCGTGGTAGCTATTTTAGTCCAGTCGTCAGAGAGTTGCTCCCTAAAAATCATACAAATAAGCTGAATTTTGCAGAGAATATTAATTTTGGGATCCCAAAAAAGATGCAGAAAAGTTTACCACTTTTACCCCCGGGCTTACCCCTAAAACAGCCCTTTTGATCCAAATGTTCTATCTATTTCATTCCACCCTGTCGGACACTTTTCTTCGCCACTGCCGGATGTTCATGGTTTTAAGATCCCTCTCTACGTCTTGTATCCATCTTTTACCGGGACCTTCCTCTCGTTCTGTTTCCTTGGGGCTTCCATCTCTAGACTACTTTTACAACTCTATTATCTGGCATTCTTTCTAGGTGACCAAGCCAGTTTAGTCTTTGTGACTTTACAAATCTAACAATATCTGCGCTCTGCATTAATTCATTCAGCTCGTGGTTCATTTTAATTCTCCATGAACCATCGCTGCATTGGGTTGGTCCAAATATCTTCCGTAATATTTTGCGCTCAAATATTCTCAATTGATTTTCATCAGTGGTTGACCGGGTCCACGTTTCACATCCATATGTGACCACTTGTCTAATTACTGTTTTGTAGATTCTAAGCTTAGACTCACCATTCAGTAACTTACTTTTCATTAAGTCTTTGTATGCATAAAAGCACTTCTTACCGCAAATAATCCGTGCTAAGGTCTTTCTACATGTATGAATTTCAAACATGTAGAAAGACTTTAGTTTGAAATGTAGTCAATGTAGTATATCTGAAAATAATCCTTGCTCGAATCATTCTTTGTTTAATCTATGGAACATTTTAAGTTGGTTGTTATCACGATAAAAAACAATGTTTTTGTATGTTTATTATTCATAATTATCTATTGTGTTCGAGTTTTGCTTAAAAACGAAAGATATGTGTTAAATCCACTATTAGTTAAAAAAGACCCTCACTCGATATTATTGGAAATTTACACAAGCAAAGCTGTTTTACTTATTATGCTTACGTATCGGCATATAACTATTACAAATAGCTGTACAAAAACCCCTTGATTTAAAATCAGTTATAGGTTATGCAAATCTGATATTTTCTGTGAAAAATATGGTACAAGAGACTTAAATAATTTATATTATTCCGCTATGTTTACATTCCATTTAATTTATTTTAGATTAAGTTACCTATTTAAAATAAATTTATACAGTGAGATTATGGTTACTTTTAGTTTTATTGGTACAAAACATAACTTTCTTTATTTCTAGAATATATACTTTTAGAATTTCTCCTAGTCGATTATTCTTTTGTACTTTTTTTAGGTAGTAAGTTTGTAGCATTGCAAATATATTAAGGTAATTAATTGATTAAAAAAAGCTTGTCGGCTTACGTTTTGGAGACACATGCTCATTGTATATGTCAAATATTAAAGTTTGTAATTTTGAGTTTGCAGTTTTATTTTACAATCCAATTGTATGGTACGAGTAAAATTGACGAGTATACAAATATGTTGCCGGCATTAACACTCATCAGTTGACAAACAGTTTCACAGCTGTCAGATAGTTGATAGTTCTGTGACCAAACAGGACCGGTTCGGCGCCGAGACTATGACGTGACTGATGTGTCTGAATCGACCTTTAAGGTCGATTCAGACACATCAGTCACGTCTCGTCACAGTGATTGCTCCGAACCGAGCAATCCGTCATTCAAAATATTCTTTAATAGAAATATGGCGCCGACATTCACATTCGTCAGGCGACGAACAGTTTCCCAGCTGTCAGATAATTAATAGTTCTGTGACCAAACAGGACCGGTTCGGCGCCGAGACTATGACGGGACTGATGTGTCTGAATCGACCTTAACGAGTTGAAATAAGTTTTAGTCTGTGCTGAGAATGAGAACTCAACGAAACGTGTTTTGTTCCACTGGTACCTCTCATTATAACCAGACGTCACAAAATTTGCAATTTTTATGGAAGTATTCCGTATGTGAATCTGGTTGTCCAAACTCACTCCATAGCCATGTAAATATATACCTACGCACACAGGATTAATAATACAATTTCCGAGTGGTTTAGTTACAGGAATTTTTTTAAGGCCCCCTTCAACCAAGTCCCCAAATATACTTACCAATTTTAGTATTAGCCTAGTAACAGGTTATCAGAAAAACAACATTTGGACATTTTTAATTTTTATTAAAAATTTTATTTTTTATCCGTAAAACATGGAGTCCCACAAGGTTCCGTCTTAGGACCTCTTTTGTTTATTATTTATGTCAACGATTTGCATAAATTCATATATCCCTACAATTCGCAGATAATACGACATAATATATTATATCAGGAAATAATAATAATAATTTAAAAATGTCTTACGATTAAGTTTCTATTAAATATAGCACATGGTTTGCTGCAACCAAATTGAAACTTAACTCCGATAAAACGCAAAACTTGGTTATATCTGCAAGAATTTTACATGATAATCCAGATGACAAAGAGACTGTTAAACTATTGAGAATAATCATAGATAATCTACTGAACTGGTCGGCTCATACCTCACAAATAAAAAGGCTATCAAGTTCATTATTTGTTATTCGCCAACTAGCAAGGGTTGTCAACTTTGAAACATTAAAAATGGCATATTTTCTTTATTTCACTCACATCTAAACCACAGAATAAATAATCAGAATGCCTACTCTCAGATGCCGCCTTTGAAGTGTATCAACACCATCGAGCAATAAGACAAAAGAAGGAATCTAATCCTTATGAAAAGGAGACCAAAAAAGTGGCCTCTGATGGCGGACATATCCGGAAATGCGAATGCGCCAAATTTAAATTTTCCGACACTTATCAACAGTAGCTATATAATATTTTTCAGAATGTGTCTTAGACGAGAAAGTTTTAATTAATTATTAATGATAAGAGTCTAAAATGCGACACAATTGTTAAAAAACTTCAATATAAATAAGATTTCATGTGACATTTGGGACAAACAATAACATAACCCAACTAAATTTGATGTCAAACAAGGAGAGAGACTCTCTTTCCTTGTTTAATGTGGCCTCTAAAGATCGCACTTCCTGTCTAACAATATGTTTGCCCCCACTACCTTTACATTCCCTCTATTGTCTTTTTGCTCGATGATCAACACGCGATCGCCATATTTAAAACGGAAAACACAGGCTCGGATTAAGAAATTTGTAACAAGCTACTACAGAACCGTAATTTAAATTTTAAGGGGTTAATAGTTTAGTAAATCTAAAATAATTTAATCTCATCCGCAATGCCGCGACGCACAGTTTGGGAAGCCCTAGTCTAATATATGTTTATGTTTCCTTAATAAATGCTTTTCTCCAAATACTTTCTCAGTTTAGCATCAAGCGAAGATATGACTAGGGGATAAAATATAGACTATATTATAAAGAAATAAAACTAGGTTTTATATCATTTAATATATAATACATATAGTGCTTGAACAATATAATAAGTATATAATATTTGTTTAATATAAAAGTATAACATGACATAAAGCTGTACTAGCATTTATCACCTAATTTACTTCAAAATATCTTACGCCACAGACTTAAATAGAGAATTTGTAAAGGTTACAATTTCACAAGTAATTACGGTATACTAGGTTCGCTCAGTTTGCTGATCCCAGTCCCAACAGTAAATTTGGTAATTCTTTGCTACGTTAGATAAAGTTTGTGGTAGTGACCGGAAATTACATTAAAACCAAGCATACGTGCTCATGTTCAATATTATTTATACAAAAAAATATTCACATGCAGTTTATTAACAGAATAAAAGTACATCAATAAAAACAAGTTTATTTGATCAAGAATAGAGCAATAAAGCGCAACTTTTTTGACGATGAGCAAATTTCTGAGTAACCACCAAAGGTTCAATCTGCAAATCCGATATCTGATGGTAAAATGTTATATCCACCTTTTGGAACTTTTGACCACCATTAAAAGGAGAAAGACAGCATATCTGGAGCACATACTTAGAAATTAGTAGTACGAGTTGTTGCAGCTGATTATGAAGGGTAAAATCGAAGGAAAAAGGGGTCTTTGTAGACCACAAATATCCTAGCTGAAAAACATTCTCGACTGAATCAGTTTGAACACACACTTTTAAATAAAGCAGCACTATAGAAATCGGCACTAGAAGAAGTAGAAAACTATTTAAGAACGCCAGATTCGCCTAGTAGATGTTATGCTGTTCTATTTATTTAAAAAAGCTATCAGGGAATGTCCTACCCTCTTTACAACAAAATTCTAGAGTTTCGTAAATCAATAACACCATTCTTACGAATTTAGATCTACCTGACTCATTTAGCTAATAAACTTCACTAAGTGCATAAAAGCAAGGCACATATTTATAAAAAAAATGTAAGAAGTGAGGTAGGTACATAGTAAAATTGGCATCTGAAGTACAATAATTATTGTCAAACATGACGCAACAAATTTAAATAATTTAAATATAGATACATTTATAAAAGGAGGCATTATTTTGAATGGTAATCTGTTTCACTCGTTTATTTAAATCCCATCAAATAAAATCAAAAATAAAAAAATCAAATCCAATCCAATCTAAACTTATAGAAATACAATTTAATAAAGTATAGTTGTCAAAGTTATAAATATTTTTTCTTTTTAATAATTTATTAGATAGAGAATGTGGAAGTTTATTGACATTATCAATAAAAAATAAAAATCAATAGTGGGTTATTACTTCATACATTTTTTAGTAGCATAAATACCAAATAAGTTTATTTTCAATATATATTCGTGTATATATATATATATATATATATATATATATATATATATATATATATATATATACATACACGAAAACGAAACAGGGGCATTAAAAGGAACTGCGATAATTTTTGAAAAACCCAGCGACACGTCGATTTTTGACACATTTTTCAGGTATTTTCGATCCCTAAGAATCACCGTAACATTTTTTAATGGCGATGAGGGTCAAATAAGACATCGTTTTAAAGCGCTTGCAATTTCCTCTACATTAGTATTTAAATGGCATTTTTTTTTAATAATCTATATTTAATGCTATAACTTTCTCCTTTTATTTGTGTATATTACTTTTCTTTCTTTCCTCATTCTTCCGTTAATTCACTTAGTTTGGTTTATTCCTTTCCACCAAATCTCCAGATTTGATCTTAAAACATATTGGTCGACTGTGCATTCATGCAACTGTAATATAACACACTGAAAACGTTTGTTTTCAACACTTCCACAAAATTTAATATCACTATTATAGCTGTTTCAGTAGAGTGCCTTTCTCAAGTGAGGTATTTCTGGTATGTGTACACTTGTAGTCTTCAACTAAATAAGTTGAGGAGGGGAGAACTGTTTATTTCAAGTTGCCCATTCAGAATTATGTCTGTATTTTTTAATTTGTTAATTTCCATAAATTCTGATAAATATACTTTAAGGTCTTTATTTTTAATGTGAAGAATTTTAAATTGGCCATTAAAAGAATAATTATGATCTAGAAAGTGAAGTGCGTATGAAGAATCTGTTTTTATATTATTGAAAGCCCTTTTATTTCTGCTATACATTTGTTAAAAGTTCTACCACTTCCATCACTTATTTAAATATATATTATGTTTGTATTTTTCATGAATATTATTTCTGGTTTTCACCATTGCAATTTCCCTTCAGTCTTTTTATTTAGAAATCTTTTGGGCCTCAAGGCAGCTCCTAAACTAGTCCAGTGTACTCGATCCGTCAGCTGTTTATAAAAAAGCTCTGGAAAAAGTTGATCTGCCGGCGATTTTACACGCCATTCGCCGGCTAACCTGGAAATTGGCCATATGTACTCACAGTAGGTTCAGCGACAGGAGCTTGTGCGTAAGTGGCAAGTAGTATTGGGCTTGAAGTGTTTAGCACACACCAGCTAGTTTGCTACTGAATAAGTGGAAACATTTGTCGTTTTCAGATGGCAACGTGCAACCGGATTGATAACGTGTGTAAACCATAATACTAAAAGCATTTTAAGAAAATTACCGACGAGAATTTTCTCCCCGAGAATATTCTTACCTCACTATGTCTGTTATGTTTCTTACCTTATGTACATTGAAATCGTACTATTTACTTTGTAGAATATCGATTTCTTGTCATTTCTTCGCCAGTACTTTCGTTTAGCATCTCTGAATCTTTCTATGTTATGTTTTATACAGTGAAATTGGGTAACTGTGGATTGGGTTGTACCCATTAATGTAATTGGGAAGGGTTCCACAATTACCATGACATAATACTTGATCAGTGCAGTATTTGGGTGCAAAATGCAAAGAAAATATATTAAAAGACTATCTATCGTAGTGTCTGAAGTAGGTATTCAGAAGAAGCATTAAAACTGGCAATGAGAGATGTGAAATCGGGAAAATCTTTGGATATGTCTGTCTTCAAGCAGCTTAAGTATTCATGGGATGCTTTGTTTGATGCAACAGATTGGAAGCGCAGTATTCGAGAACCTGTTATAGTGAATGGCTTTAGAAAACCCTCTGTTTTTTTCCTCTGAATCAAGATTCCATTTGCAAAGAAAAGTTTAATCCCGAAAAGTTAAAACGATATTATGAAGAGGAAAACATTCCTTAACATTATCACTGACAAGCAAAGTTCTATGGGTAAGCAAATTCAGATCCCATGTACAACCTCTTGCAGCTCTACTACAGAATGCCAGATTTGCATTGCATCAATGTCCGTTGAATCCTGGGAGAATGTTCACTAGCAACAGTGAAACCTTTACTGAAGCTAGAACAAAGGAAGAGGAAAAGGATATATGTTGCTGAGGTAATCAAATTTAAAACCTATTGTTTTGTTTTGGACAGGATAGATCTCAGTATGTTAGTTGTTCTATAGTAAAATTCATTAAGCGATGCAGGAAAATATAAACATTAAATCGTGTCCGAACCGGTTTGAGCCGCCGATAACGTCGCCAGACGAAATAAAGATGGACATTTCCCTTAGTTTTTAAATATTTTTGACGAACTGTTACTTGCATTTATGCATAAAATATTCATTAATTTTATAAATCGGATTATTTTTTCACTTACTTTGTATTCAGTGATAACATTAATTTATTTACTATGCAATAAACACGAATATTTGAGAAAAGAAAAAAAAATAATAAAGTGTCATAATTATACTGTTACTTATCGGAACGAGTAGACTCATTTGGAACATCTTTAACAATTATCCGTTAAATTTATCGTTGTTTATATGCCCTGCATCGCTTAATGGAATAAGGTATAAATGTTGTTATGATGTGCTTATCTCCTATCCATTGAAATGTTTCTGATAAGATGTTTACATATATGGTATTGTTGATATCTTTGAATCCCTTCTTGTGTGTTTCTGGATTGCTTGTGGTGTTTGGTATCTCCTTTCTTTAATCTTATTAAATTCCTTGTTTATAAATGACAATGAGTAATCATTCTTTGTCAAAACCTTTGTTAGCAGGTTTTTTTATACCTGAAATGAATGTTCATTAGAACTAGTGTTTCGGGCTCTATCATAATGATTTAATAATCCCTTTTTTGATGTATATGTTGTGACTTGAGTGGCAATTTAAATATTTGTTTATTATATAATTTAAATAGATATAATATGGTGCTAAATATCTAAAACATATAAGAAATCGGAATATAGTTAATGCAATGATCAAAACTTTGAAAACACACTGTTAACATAAATAAATAATACTTTTAAACAGTTAATATTTATATTAATAAAAAAAACACAAATACAAATAATATAGATCACCGCTAATTATCAATATAAAGTTATATTCTTAATTACCGCTGCAAATGTTGGAATGTACTATGCCACAATAACGTTGCATATTGCAACGTTGTACATTGCATATAACCATTCATAAATAAAGCCTCTAACCTATCAATATTCTGAACAATTTATAATAAAAAACACTTAAAACGCTTTGAGTAAATAGATTTTTTTTTGAGGTACATGTTACAAGCTCCCAATCTTCAAGCACTTGATTTAAACATCAATTGGTTTGTTAGCTCCACCCATATCTTTCAAGGGGACAGAAACACTTGAACCGGATGGCTGTGACCAACCAGCTTCTTTATCATGCTGTCTCCTCTTCTGGTCTTCCCTTCTTTTGTACTCTTCAAGTTCGAAATAGTACCTAGGCAAATAAACAAAAATAGAAAAAAAAATAAGGTTTGTTAGAAAGTTAAAAAAAATGTATTTTTCAACCAAAACACTTTCAGAAAAATGTTGTTAACCACTTGCGTTCGAAAGCGATGACAAGTAAAGTGACATATCTTTTTTTCTACAAAAAATGTTAAACAAGATACAGTTCAATTTAAAACTGAATGATGTGTAAATTAAAGTCTTATTTGGTTCATATAAAATTCATCTTTTTATATTACAATTTATTGTTAAACTTTATTAGCATGTTTTAAACGCAAACTTAAGTTAAACTTTATTACAGACTAGTGTATATATTCTTTATAAAAAGTATCAATCTCTTTTTCATTATTGTCTTGCAATGTATGGTATTTTTGAAAACAATTGCTGGGGTGTAAAGCCAAACATCTGTTGCACGTCTTACAGAAATAGATAGATGGAAAACTTTTAAATCTTTATTAATTATCCTCGCATGGTTCCCAAAAGTCAACATCTTCTGTAATGGTTATATCTTCAGCGGAATCATCCGATTCTAAAATTTCCTCAACAAGCATTTCATCTTCAGAGTCTAAATCTAATTTATTTTCTATAATATTAGTATTTGTATCTGAGTTTTTACCTATGTCAAATACTAGGGCCTCTGACTCTACGGGAATTAAATATTTTCTTTTACTATGTTAAAAATACTAACACAATCTTTATAAAATCAACAAAACTCTAAATAAACACTTATTTCATTGAAATTAGAGCATGTGTAGCACACACGAGGTTAAACATAAATGCATTCAAAAGTTATGTTACATACCTTGGGGTGGTAATGCCAAAAAGTGAAGCAAGAAATTCTCCTGCTGTATCCATGGCGCCTAAAGTTGTATTTCCTGCAGCCCAAGCCTTATACCAAAACCATGGTCCCCACGTCAAAGTAGACTGTTAACAAAAGAAAAATGTGTTACAATTGCTAAATAATTGAAAACACATAAAATAAAAGAATTAAACATCAAAATTAAAAAAACACACTAGGCTAAAATGAAAATTTCATAGCTTGTATGAGGCAGTAGATATATACAACAATATATGTAGAATAATATAAAATGAGACAGCTCTCTTATGTAGTTTTTTTTTCTCCTTGGACCCATCTGATCAAAAAGATATATGTTATCACTGAAGTTTATTGTATTTGCTGTCAATTGTTGTTTCCTACACCCAGTCTAAAATTTTTTTACCCAATAGAAGTTTGTACAAGTCTTCTGCTTGGTGTATTTAAAATATACTAGGGTCTAATCTTGGTTGCCCATACAGTTTTTGTCTTTTACGGTCCAGCACAGTGTCATAATACATGTTTTACAGTTTCTAGTTCATCACAGAGTCTGCAGTTAAGGTTTCCATTGTAAATGCCTATTTTTTTCAGGAATTCTCTTAGTGGTACATGCCCAGTCAACATTTCTGTTACTGTTCTTAGTTTGTTCCTGCCCATGTGAAGTAGCTCCTCTGTTCTTTTTCTATATGGTCCACCAATGAAGATTTGTTTTTACATGTTTTAGAATTATCTCCCCATATCGCTCATATTGCTATATCTATAGATCTCATGTTATTATTTCATATCTATATTCTTTAATACAATACTCACGGGATCAACAAGAGGTTGATTTTTTATGCTATCAGTGTTGTCTTCTTCATCTGTGCTGTATTCCTCCAAGATTCCATCTGAAAAATGCAAAATCCTTTTCGGAGCTTTTACTCTGACTGCCGCGGCTTGTCCTTCTGCTTCACTAGAGATCTGATTTTCTTCTGGGCGAATTAATACCATTTTGAAGTTGTTGATTTTTTCAGCTTTTAACTACAACAATTTATAAATTGAGTACTTTTACAAATTCACAATCACAATTGTTGACTGACACTGACACAGATAAGACAGAACACAGCACAGAGTACATACCATTATTATTCTGTGGTTAAATGAGATTTGTATGCATTCTGTGATGAAATTACTAGACGAAAATAAGTTAAGAGGTTTAATAATTACAATAATCGTATACATAAGGATATCTCCAAACTATTTATTAAAGATTATTTATTGATATATACAAAAACTGACATTTCGAACGTGCAAGTCTCCAATGACGTCACAAAAACATGCGCAATATCTTATCTTATAGTCATAGTATCATGGTATCATGCTCCCTAGTCATCGAGCAATAAGACAAAAGAGGGAATCTAATCCTTATGAAAAGGAGACCAAAAAAGTGGCCTCTGATGGCGGACATATCCGGAAATGCGAATGCGCGAAATTAAAATTTTCCGACACTTATCAACAGTAGTTATATAATATTTTTCAGAATGTGTCTTAGACGAGAAAGTTTTAATTAATTATTAATGTTAAGAGTTTAAAATGCGACACAATTGTTAAAAAACTTCAATATAAATAAGATTTCATGTGACATTTGGGACAAACAATAACATAACCCAACTAAATTTGATGTCAAACAAGGAGAGAGACTCTCTTTCCTTGTTTAATGTGGCCTCTAAAGATCGCACTTCCTGTCTAACAATATGTTTGCCCCCACTACCTTTACATTCCCTCTATTGTCTTATTGCTCGATGTCCCTAGTAAAGTAAGTGTTGTCACAGAATAATAAACAATCAGAATGCCCACTCTCAGATGCCGCCTTTGAAGTTTTTCAGCACGCGCGCCATGTTTTAGAAGGAAACACATAACACAGACATATGATTTGTGAGGTGTTTATGTAATTGTTTATATCAGAGATATGTCTTACATATCTCTGGTTTATATTTATGTTTAATTATATTAAATTTATGTTATTATGTTTAACAATGTTAAAATAATTGTATAGTATCTCTATGATTGCCGTAAGTCAATTAAACCGGGTTAATTTTTCTATGCACACCACAAAAACAACACTGGTTCCCTCTAAAACATGGCGGAAGGTCTGCGCGAAGGAGATGTACGTACTTAATTTTCCATGGAGAGTGGGCATTCTGATTGTTTATTATTCTGTGACTGTACTTAGCTCTGTCATTTGTCATAGATAATATAGATATAGCTTAGTTCATGATTTTGAAGATTTTGTGTCAGATTATTTTGAATGTATTGTGGATTGTGCGTTGTAAATGCCTCAACGTGCCTCAACCCGCATGCCATACCTGGCACATGAAGCATTTGTGCGGGAGTATCATTTCGTTGGCAACAGTGGTAACTGTTTCCTGTCTGTTTACAATCGGTGGCATGTAAACAATTTGTACTAAAATAAAGGGGCGATATTAAGGTGTGGTTGGTTTTTAAAAATGTTATAAAAATGACCAATTCGGACTTTGTTAAATTGTATTTTAGTACATATAAAGTGTGTGTTATGTGATTTTATTGTGTATGTGTTTTTTTGTTTGCTTTATAATCGGTTTAAATGTCAGAAAGTTTAGGTTATGCTCCAGTGATCATACTAGCACTGCTAAAAGTCCCTTTTTTCTTGAAATGAGCAATTGGGCAGCTAGAATGCATCGGCGAGCTGCCACTTTCGGTAACGTTGTCACATCTTGTGGTCACCCTACTGGACATTTCCCAAGAAGACTCGAAAAAGTAAAATTTGGTGTTTCTCTAGAAGAAGTCTGTAAAAACGATATTCCGGGACCACTTTTGGTAAGTTTTTGACGATGCCAATGTATTATATGTAATTGCCATCTGTGTTTCTATATAAATATCACCCTTTAACATTTAAATTACCTTGTGAACTACTCTGCTATGCACTGACCTATTTTTATGTTTCAAGAATTGTAGTAATTTTAGGTTGTTTTTTTGACTGAAACTAATTAAGATACGAATTTATTTTTCAAATGAAGTGATTTACATATCATTAAGGAAAAATATGCTATTGAAGTAAATTTTAATTCAATATTTTTGACCTAGTAATTTTGTTGTGTAACAATTCCTAAAATTTATCTATACCTGTGTACTGCTCCTATTTTTTTTTCATTCAGACGATTTAAGCAGATAGGTACTATAAAATAACAATTTCTATATTTAAGTTTTTTTAACCTATTTTTGCACTGAAGTTGGTGTAATTTCTACTTCAACATAAGATAGGATTCCAGTAAGAGTCTTAAGTGCTTTCATTGATGAATCATATGAGTAATTAAGACTATTATGTAGACATATGCCACATTTTAAATTTCATTTTTACTTTTCTTATACTTTCTTCCTTAATATAAAAGGTGTTTTCTTAAACTTATTCTAATTTTTCTTTATTTTAATGGAAATAAAGTACTAATTGCAGTACTTATACAGCAGCATTTAATATAGTCAGAATATCCATGTTACTATCTAACAGAATATTTAATGGATAGGCATTATTTTCTAAGAAGGTATTATGTATTCAACCCTTTGGCCATTGTCAATAACAATATCTGTAAAAATAATTGTTTATTGTGTATGACCATAATATAAAAAAATTAACATATACACATGAAAAGTATAGCTAAGCACATTTTACAATATATGGCTTCATAACCAGTCTAAATATGAATAAAGAGAAAAGTACCATGATTTATGGTAATGTTTAATACATTATTTATAACTTTAATTTTGACTAATATGATCTCTTGATATCAAATTTTGATAAAATTGACAGAAGAATTATAAATTCAATGCTGCTTGCAAAAAAGAACATACTGAGAATTATACCAGTACAAAACTTCCTGTGAATTTTTTGTAGCTAAGTTTTGTACATAAATATTATGACTTTCAACACTTGGTATCCACATCCAAATTTGACAGATAAAGTTTGACAGATAAGTACAACTACTTCTCCACATTTGACTAACATTGTTTATGAATTTTATTACATTTCTGATAAATAAATCTCTTACTATATGTTACAAAAGTAAATCAAAATGGCATATAAGTATAGATGTTAGATCATCTTAGATTGATATCCACTTCTACATTACTCTGTTATATTACTGTCTATAATCCACAACAACACTTTCAGCTAATAATATAATACTGTCAGGCATTAATTGTAATAATTCATTGTATACTTAATACAAAGAAAACTGAAGCTTGAGGCAAACCAATATTTATTGTATATGGCTATTGTATAAAACTGTATTGTGATTTATTTTCTAACCAGCTTTATATGAATTTATGGTACATACTTATTAGCTATGCAGGTAATCAAGAAACATCTGGTGGAATCAGTGTCAAATACTTTTTACCAAAGGAAAGTAATTGCTATTGAGGACTTTAGCTTACTTTGATTTATATTATGTATGTTGACACAAGAGATATGATCTTGTAAAACTAATTATAGAAGGAATCAGTGTTCTTGGTGGAAGAACATTCGAGATTGGACCAAACTCATTTTACATGAACAATAAAGAAAACCTCACACAGTTTGCTGAAATTGTAACTGACCTCCACTGATGGAAGCAGCACCATCTTTAGTATTATTGATAATTATGAAGAACTTTAAATTGTCTGCAAAAAGAAGAACCCTGGGGTACTCCTGAATGAACCCTAATCTCACTGGAAACAAAATCTCTGATACACACCATCTGAACTCAGTAAATCAAGTATGTTCTCAGCCATCTAAGAAGTGGTCCATCAAAACCAATTTTTTAAGTTTAACTATTATTTAACTATATATTTAACTATAATATTATGGTTTTCAAGTGAAGCTTTAAGATAGTCACATACAAAACATTCAAATATCTTTGTATTACACTAATTATACTAATGGGCCTGTACTTATTAACCAATGATTTGTCCCCCACTTTAAAAATAGGTGTAAAAACTATTTTTTCAGCATTCTGGAAATTCACTGTTATATAAGGATGGTTAAAAAATGTGAAAAAGAGGTTTGGGCAATATAAAACAACAATTCTTGAGAAAGCTGAAAGGAAATCCATCAGGACCAGGGCCCTTATTCACATTCAGTTCTGATAATCTTAAATAAATATCAGATATCATCATCATCAATTAACCTATGTTTGTCCACTGTTGAATGTTGGCCTCCTGTAAAATTTTCCACCTATTTCTATCTTGAGCTTCTTGCATCCAGTTTGTGGTGATGCACTTGATATCATCCATCCATCTAGTCAGTGGTCATCTTCTGCTTCGATATGCATCTTGCCTTGGTCACCATTCCAGAATCTTTCTGGTCCGTCCATCATCTGTTAATCTGGCAACATGTCCGGCCCAAGCCCATTTAGCCATGGCTATTTTTTCAACTACATCTGTGACTCCTGTTCTTCTTTTTATTCTTCTTAAGAAGACTATTAGATATAGTTATGTTAAAACCAGTCAAGTTCGTAAGATCAAGTGAAGGTGAATCACTGGGGATGTCATATTTGAATGGAAAAGACCATAGAAAAATATTTACAATATCTGATCTGTAACTGGATTCAACACTTAACCATAACTCAACACAGCATGTAAGGAAGGCTTTCCCTTCTGTGAATTCACAAGTAACCAAAATCCTTTCAAATTATTTCCTAGTGATAATTCTGTCAAATAAATATGATTTCTGTAGCCTTCAACTTTTAACAAATTACAGTTGGCCCTCAGCTGAGAAAAAGTGTGATAATTCAGAAGTGATTTAGATAAAATATATTTTTGGTGAGCTTTCTTTTTCTCAACTATCAGGTCCTTCAACTCTTGAGAGAACCAAGAAGGGAAGCTATGTTTCAAATATCTTTTTAGGGGAATAAATAATTCTTTAGCTAAGTAAATTATATCATAAAAAGTATTCACAATTTGATTCAGTGGTTTTCCTAAAAATAAATTATCCCAACAGAACTGTGGCAAAAAAACAATTATTTTCACATAGTCAGCTGACTTAAAGTCTCTATAGAAACCCATCACTAACCAAACCACTATTATTGGGGCACCTTTTGGTCTTCTTTATATCAAATTACAGGGGTGGGTGGTGCATACCCTCCCTCAAAAGAGCTTCATTTGACCTGGACACAGTTACATCACCATCATCAACCAGCACCAAATTGAGATTATTACCAGTGGAATTCACAATAGTATGAACTGAAGCAAATTGTGGTATCCACACATACCAAATACAATCTACAAGGCTTCAACTTCAGATGCTGTGGCAGCTGATAGAGGAATTGTTGTAGAACACATGTCATTTGAAAACCATTCACAGTTTGGAACATTGAAGTCCTCAGCCAGATAATAGTGTGTAGATGAATAGACTTTAGCTATTTGTCCTAAGGTTTCACAAAATATGGAATATTTATCAAATGTAAACTTTGGTGGAAAATAGCTGTTCCTATAATAAACTGATTTGCACCTTCAGTCATCAAGACAAATAATTATTCGATTGTCTGGTTAACTGTTAAAGATCTACTTCTAAAGCTCTTATGAACTGCAATAAGGACTCCACCACCTCTTGAGAATAAACTTGTTTCCCTGGAGCAATAAGTTTTATAAATGTTGAGGGTCAAACAACTGCAGCTTTTCATTGGCATAGTTGCACATCAACCAAGTCTTATTGAATATGATAATACTGTAACTAGAATAGGATACATTCATAAATAAACTGTTGAGCTTTGTTCTTAGACCTCCTACATTTTGAAAATAAACCCATACTCCAGGTGAAGACTGTGGTAGTTTTTTGTCATTATTCTAGGAGTGCCATTTAAGTACTCGATAAATAAATTTTGTTCACCTTTTCTCTCTCTTCCCTTAAGTTTGTTATTGATAGTGTTTAATGCAGTTTTCTGTTGTTGCAATGTTTAATTTAGTGTGATTAATTTGATAAAATACTTTATATAACTTATAACTAAGGTTATAAATTGCCAAAATTCGTTATATTGAGGGTCGTTATATTAAGGTTACACTGTGTATACATATTAATATTTCCTGAGTATAATCAATGTGATAAATTATGTGATGTAATAAAATGATTGCACTCAATTAATTTTTCATCCTCCATTAAGAACAAGACTGATGAAACAAGTGAGGAAAATATGATACAACAACTGAAAACAAGTGGCTGACTGACTGTCTCCTATTCACACCAACCCAGAAGTCTGGTCCTGTCAAGATCAAGTTAGTCTTGATGGCTGGCTGAGCAACTGGATAGTGCATCTGTGTGTGATTTACTTCATTGGAAAAGTACAGAAGCAATTTGGACTGTACCATCTCTGACTGTGATGTGACCGTTGGTTTGAATCAGCCTTAAGATTATTATTTGGTTTTTATTATATACTGGTTGAAACGAAAAATGCTACAGAAAAATATCAATATTTTGTTTTCACTAATTTGGTTTTCTCATATAAACACAAATGAGTCAGTACATATTACAATTCATAGTAGAAGATGATTATTCATGCCCTATAAAAACTGATGAGAAAGAAAGTAAATATTCATATCAGATAAATAATATTGACATACAAAACAAACTTAAAATTACACAATTTAAAGTGTTACAGATATATTTAGTTTATTTATTATAAGTCAAAACAAGTTTATTAAGGTAACTTGTTGATGTTACAGCAGATGTGCTGTTATTAGTGTGATAGAGTCCTCCAGTAAAATATTCTCTTCAAATATTCTTCTACTATGTCATGTCACTATATTATCTTAAGTTTACCTCCATATTTTAGTTTCCTCCATTTTTACTTTGATTTAGTACTTTCGATTATTTTTGACACTCTTATTATTTCCTTAACATAACGATACGTTTTTGGCAAAGTAACGTAAGTGACATTTTTGGCGAAAATAATGTTTTTCAATTAAACTAATGCAATTACTATTAAAAAGGTATTGAAAAAGTGTAGTAAGCCTAGAATTACTTTAAACCTTTTTTAGGACAAGTAGGACAAGTTTTTTTTAGTCATAATTTAAATAAGTTTAACCAGGTTGAATTAAAAAATTGTTTTTTCTACAAATCGTTTTTGTGACTTACGTTACTTTGCCAAAAATGTATCGATAAGTTACAGCCATTGGTATTAACACAGTTGTACAAACTCTTTGTAGTAAAAACCAGGTGTTTAACAAGTAGATACAACAAACCTTAAGTAATTCCTTTTCAAATGAACTGCTGTAATTATTTTTGAATCAAATACCTGACATTTATCAAATATTTCCTTGGCAATAAACCACAATTATATAACTAACCCTGTATTTGAAGTTCTAGCTTCTATTACTGTAGGTAGGACCACACTAGTAAACTATTCTATTTTTGTTCACATATATTCATTGAGGTAGTGTTATATACTTAATCCATAATCTGCACTCTTAAATCACTATTTATATTTTGCTTCTGATATCTTTTTTGAAAATTCAGATCTTCCCAACTGAACATAAAAAGGAATATTAAATCTGAAATTTCACCTATAAAATTAGACAATTAAGTGATTAATAATGAATGAATGATTGTTTAATGTTTAGAACAACCAGATCAAACAGAATGTCCAAATAATGTGTTAGATGATACAAACATTGAAATTGGCACTAAAACTACATTTTTAGGCATGCCAATTGATGCAATATTGACATGGGAAAGTCACATACAGCAACTTAATAAAAGGTTAAATTCAGTATGCAATACTTTAAGAGTATTATCACAATATTTAAATCAAGATGACCTAAAAACAATTTATTATTCAATTTTTGAATCTTATGGTGGAAGCAATGAACTTGATAAAATACTTTTCTATCAGAAACGAGCTCTTAGAATTATTACAAAGATGAGATTTGGAGCATCTTGGAGTCTTCAAAATTAACAATATCTTGACAGTACCTGGAATGTATATTGAGGAATGTCTTTTATTCCTCTTTAGAAAAAACAACTGTTTGAAATGAATCTACCTACACATATTTATAACAACAGGGAAATTAAGTATATTTACCCCATTCACAGACTAACTGTGATAAAAAAAGGTTTCGAAAAATATGCTTGCATGGGATTCTTTAATAAATTGCTCTATATTAGAGTAATCCCAAATTAACTCGGTATAAAAAGTTGTGCATAAATTACTGTTACAAATTGAAACATACAGGGTAATTAACTTTATGAATTGAGATGTGTAACAGGATTTCTGTAATAATATTATTAATTAATCAGCCACTGCATAGTGTTTATTCTATTAGGGATTTGGGTGTACTTTTTGATGAGAAGCTTACTTTCTGTGACCACATAAACTCTATTTCAATAAAGACATCCAAACTTCTTGGTTTCGTTACTAGGAATTGCAAGTATTTTTCCATTGACTTAACAAGATTAGTGTATTGTTGCTTAGCTCGAACCATTTTGGAATACTGTTCAGTTATTTAGTCGCCCTATTTTCAGAAGAAGATTGATACCATAGAAAGAGTCCAGCATAAATTTTTGAGTTATTGTGCTTACCATGTCCACACTACTATTGAAAATCATGATTATTCCTATATTGAACAACAATTATCTTTACCCTCACTCAAGAACCATCATAATATATCACGAACTACATTTATATATAAAAGATCATACATGTATTTATTGATTGTCCAAACCTGTTAAGCCAGATTAACTTTAATGTGCCCCATCAAGCTCTATGTTACCACAATGTTTTCAATATTTTTTTCCACAGAAAAAACTATGGTATTCAGAACCCATTTAATAGATACATGAGGCTATTAAATGTTCTTGATTTTGATATTTTCAATATAATTTTAACTCAGTTAAAAAGATCTCTTGCTTTGTGATATGTATATTGGTATTGTTGAATTTTGTTCTTGTTATATTTTTAGTATGTAATATTTTAGTCTCATTTTTTAAACTTTTGATATTGATTTTATATTATAAGTAATTTCAAATTTTGAATCCTAACTGTGATATTGTATATTGTAATTTAAACTGTTAATGGGGTTATCCTGTGTATTAAATAAATAAATGTAACATGTAAGAGCTTTATTTGTCAGGAATCTAATAAAACTTATAAACAAGATCAGTCAAATGTGGAGAAGTAGCTGTATCTGTTAATCTTTAAAATTTGGATGTGGATACCAAATGTTGACATAAGTAATTAGGTAATTACAGTGTTACATTAAAATTAGAGTGGCATAATATTAGTGTAGTGACAATAATTACTCATATTAGTCAAAATAATCTAAATCAAGTTGTAAATAAGGGGTGTTAAGCAATTTTTGACACATTCTGATGAAATATTCAGTGTCACAAGAGGTTGAGTAATTTTGAAAATTGCATTTAAAAAATGCCCATCTAGAAATGAAAATTTAAATAAAGTTAACTATATAATTGTGGTTTATTCCTAAAGGTATATTTGATAAAAACTAGAATGGCATAAGAGGCAGATTTTTTTGGTTAACTTATTGTTAAAATATTCATTGCTGATAATATGGACTAAAACTACAGTTTGATATTTTTTTAGGTACTCATTCTAAAGTTAAACAAAGAAGCACCTTACAGAAAAGATGTTTTCAGGGCTCCTGGTAACCAGGGTGCCATGAAGAAACTCATACATTTTCTGCAGACTGGAAGACTGGTTAATATGGACAATTTTAGTGTATACACAATAGCAAGTGTTCTCAAAAAATTTCTTAGAAAAGTGCCAGGAGGTGTGTTCGGTAAAGACATTGAAAATAAGTTTTTCCAAATTATAGATGTTATGGATTTTCAAGTACAACAAGAAGAGATTCATAAGTAAGTACATTTACTTATCTAGATTAGACTCGGATTTAGATTCATTTCAATTTGAATTTGTTCAATATTTTTTTTTTAATTTCACTAACATTAGAAATAATTGAAAGAAGTAAATTATAACTGAAGAAATTGTTTCTTATGTGAAAGAAGCCTTCCAAACAATTCCCAAAAAGTTCAGTTGATAGCACCCATTTGGATATCGCTAATGACTAATTAATTACCGCTAAACTTCTAATATTTACCACAACAGCGGTAAATTTGCAATTTGCAGCTGATCTAAAAATTTTAATTACTTTTTTGAGATATTAATCCTAAAGAAAGGTCCTTAATGAAGGGTACATCATATTTTTTTTTCACTGGATGTCGTGGTGTCGTTTGTATTGCAGGCAATTGGTTTATTGTACATCTTCCCTTAACTGTAATATATATATATATATATATATATATATATATATATATATATATATATATATATGTATATAGTCCTCCTTCACAATTTACAAGAAACATAATCCATCCGTTGTACGTTATTGGTCTCAGGAGAATAAGCATTTGAGTGTGTCTGTGCGTACGCAGTATCTACAAAAGTTGAATGTTTGGACTGGAATTTTGGCAGACTATATTATTGTTACTTTTTTCATTGAAGGCAATTTAAACGCAGTCAAATATATATCTCCAATTACTGCAAAATCGAATTATTCCTGCACCTTCAACGTCTTCAAATTAACTTCAACGAAATTTGGTTTCAACAAGATGGCTGTCCTGCACAATACAAAAACCGTTAGAGAGAATTTAGCGTTTATTTTTTGCTGAACGTGTCATTAATACAGACTGTACAATAAAGTGACCCCTTCGGTCACCAGACTTAGTTCCTCTAGATTTTTATTTTTGGAGGATGCTAAAAACGAAATTGTACAGGCATGAGTTCGAGAGTGCCACCAACTTGGAGGAACTGAAAAAAAAAAAGATAATCCAACTTAGCCAAAACATATCGGCAGAACAACTCGACGCCATGAGAAATGCGTTGTATAATAGATTTGGTCACTGTTCGTTACAATTTGGTGGTCTGTTTGAATATTTAATTACCTAAGAATTATATCTGGTTTAGAATTTCTAATTGTTCGAAATTATTTTTTATTTGATTTTATTTTTATAGAACAAATTTTATACTTTTATACTAATTTTACTTTTTTTTGTTTCATTTTTATAGAACTAAACGAAAATATGGTTTAAATATGTCAAACGTTGAGAAATGCATTATAAAGAATACAAAATTAAAGATAAGAAGAAATAGGCATCTTGTTAAACATTAAATATATAATAGACATGTTGACAACTAATTTTACTATTCGTTTATCTTGGTAGATTAGCTATTATTATAAAATTGTTATGTGGTTGTTGTGGTCAATAGAATGCGTGGTTAAATGAATAAATAGTTTCCTTGTTGTATAATGTGATATTGTGTTTAAAATGTTTGATATATTTGTGGTTAATCTGAATTGATATGGCCATTAGTGATTATTGATATCATCTTATAACATTTCTTGAGGGTTTTATTCATTTCCTTTGATCATTTATTTTATCATAACAAATTATCGATTAATTGCAAAAACATTTTTTAAATCATAACCTTGTCTGATAGCATATTTTATTTTTCTATTATTTTAATATTAAATTTGTTTAATTTTTTATAATTCAATGCATTGCCTTTAAATTACTGTGTAATTAAGTTAAAATATAAATAACTTAATTATTCGATTTGTAATAGATGTAAACACTTGTTAATTTTTTCAGGAACAACTTTCAATGTTAGTACTTTTTTATAATTTATTTACTCATGGTCATATCAAGATTATCATATTTATACCACAAATTTACTATAATAGGTAGCAATATTAGACCATTAAAAACGCATAATTTATATAATGAGTGCAATATTAGGATCCATGCTTGCACCGTTGGGTTAACTTGGTAGCTAAACGATATTTTGCCGGTCCCAAGCTCGAATAAAAGAGGAGGGGTGTTAGGTGAGAGCGAAGAAGTTGAAAGAGAGAGAGAGAGAGAGAGAGAATTTTATTTATTCAAAAATAGGAAAAGCCCTAATACACACAAAAGTAATCAATTTATAACATTAATAGCTAATTCCAGCTAAGAAAGTTGTCATTATGGTTCGAAGACCACAACCAAAAAAGGGTGCCTCTGAGTGGTCCAATGGTCCGGGAGAAGGCAAAGCGTCTTTACGTCCATTTTAAAGAACCTGGTGGAACCAAATAGAGGATTTCAAGCATCGGAAGGTTGTTTCAATAAATTTAAGTTGCGGCAATCATTGCATAGCATTAAAATCGTTGGAGAAGTTGCATCTGTAGACACTGCTGTGGCAGAAAGATATCCAGAAGAATTTGTGAACTTGGTAGCTGGTCGAGGATATACACCTGAGCAAGTATTTAATATAGACGAAACTGGACTGTTTTAAAAGAGAATGCGAAATAAAACATTTACATTTCTAAAATCGAAATGTCTGCCCCTGGATTTACTGCTGGTTTGTTCTAATGCATCTGAAGATTTTATTATTGATGCCTTATCGATTTTTGGAATTTGCGATTCAGTTGGTTTCATTTAAAATAATTAGAGCTCCTTCTTTGATTTTTGTTTTTTTACCATCTGTTTCTTTCAGAACTATAATTGAATCTTTATGTTGAACTACTCATGCTCATTTTACCATGCGTGTTTACATATTTGAGATCTATCAAATTCTCTATTTTTAATTTGACTTTGACCCTCGAAGACATAATAAAATCAACAGATTGGGAAAACAGAGAAATATGTATTAACGGAAAATACCTAAATCACCTTAGATATGCGGATGATATACTCCTGATCTCCTCGGAAAGACAAGAACTGGAATTAATGCTGAATGAACTTCATGAAAAATCACTGCAAAAAGGCCTAAAAATTAACTTCAACAAAACAAAATTAATGACAAACATGGAAGACCAAGAGGCAATAAAAATAAAAACGGAACAAATAGAACAGGTAAATGAGTATATCTATCTAGGACAAGCAATCAGAGCTAACAGAGAAATTCAAACAGCCGAAATATCGAGACGAGTAAGAATGGGATGGGCAGCGTTCGGCAAACTTTCTTACGTTCTGAAAAATCAAACAATCCCTCTATACTTACGAAGCAAGGTATATAACTCCTGTATAATACCGGTGCTCACCTACGGAGCACAGACATGAACATTTACACAGCCAATTTGGATAGGATAAGGAAGGTACAAAGAGCGATGGAGAGACAAATGTTGGGTATATCACTTAGAGATAGAAAACGTAACCAGTGGATCAGAACCAGAACAAAGACAGTAGACGCGATAGAACAAGCAGCAAAACTGAAATGGAAATGGGCTGGACACAATGAACGTCTCCAAGACGGACGATGGAACAATGCCATCGGAAAGTGGCGTCCATACAATGCAAAGAGATCAAGAGGCAGACCATAGATGAGGTGGAAAGATGACATCAGGAAACAAGGAGGTCCCACATGGCAGAGAACAGCTCACGATAGGGAAAGATGGAGAGAACTGGGGGAGACCTATATCCAACAATGGAAGGATAGAGAATAGCTGAATTGTCCATATGAATGAGACAGGTAAAATTAAATTAGAAGAATTTTTTACTAAGTGACAAAAACAAAATTTGATAATATTTGTATTTTGAGAGCAAGTTCCGAGGTGGAAATCGAAACGTCAAATAGACTTATTTTACAGTAAAATTGTGACTTATTCCCAATAAAAATAGTAAATTGCACTAAGATGCCACAAGAAAATAGCTTCAGAACATTACCTTACGTTTAATGTTATCGTAAATGTAAATGTATTTTACTAAAATACATTTTAATTTGGAAACTGGAACCATTCAGAAATAATTTTTGCACAAATGCACACCAGGATACATTATCCATAAAGAAAATTCTTGGGTCATTAAAATGAATTGGTTATTACTGTTTAATAACAGTAAAACCTAATTGTGCACTGGAGCGTTTCTAATATGATGATAAAACAACAATAGACTGTTGAAAAGTGCCAAGCATGTGTATTCCATTGACAAATTTTACTAATGGAGTTTGACAAATCCGCACACAAATATAATTTATTACAGTACGAATTCAAACTTAAACAATTTCGAATTTTAATAAATTTAGAAAAAATAATTAGAAAAACATATTGCTGTACAAACATGTGCGTAGCTATCAGTTGCGAAAAAACGTATGTAAAGGCGAGTTTATACACGCTTGGATATGCGGGCACCAGTAGTTGTTGGCGCGCCAGTAAAATAAAATGTATGTATAAACAGTAACTGGCGACTAGTGGCGAGAAATTTCGAAAAGTTCATGCATTGTGCCAGTAAAGAATGCAACTCAAAATATTTACATTTAATTATTATAAGATAATCTTGACAAGAACATCAATACATTAATATAAATGGAGTTATTTAATTCAACAAATACAAAGCCCTTCTCTCTATTCGGATTGCCGAATATAGGCCTCTCCTATTTCTCGCCATTCATCTCTGTTATTTCTAAGAAGTTTCCAAATTGGTCCTGCAGTTCTTTTAATATAGTCGCTCCAACGCATTTGCGGTCTTCCCGTGGTCTTTTGGCTTCATATGGCCGCCAATTGCCGATTTCTTTATTCCATTGGCCATCCTTAAGACGTTTGTTATGTCCAGCCCATTTCCACTTCAGTTTAGCTGCTTGTTATTGTATTTTATTGTATGTTATTGTTTATTTATTGTATGTTATTGTTTATTGTATTACGAATGTCTTCATTGGTTTTATGGTCTTTTGAGTGAGATACCCAACATCTGTCGTTCCATAGCTCTCTGAGTTTTTCTGATCTTCTCCATGTTTATTTAGTGAATGTCCAGGTTTGAGCTCCATATGTAAGTACAGGTAGGATACAGCTTAGACCATAAAAACTGATAGACACGCCTTGTACCGA